GATAGAAACTCAACTTATGTCCATATAGGAAGCCTTTATGCCATGGTCCTACAGTGGGACCACTACAGTGCTGCAATTGTGCTGCTGTAGCATCCATGGCATAAACGTTTAAAAAGAACTCACAGGAACCTTTGGGAAGGAGAAGAGGAAATGGGCATATTTTCATGGGTGGCAGTGATTTAGTTGCAGGGCCAAGCTCAGAGAAAGCAAGCTGACCTAAGATTGCAGCAAAAGTCAAAGTAGAGGCTGCAGCAACAATGGGACACCAGCCCCAGGAAAGCTCCAGAATGGAGAGAAAACGGACACAGGGAAATTAATGTAGGGTTTCTAATTTTGTACAGATCTGTGCATTTCTTCTGTTGTTAAAGAGCAATTTTTTTTTGGAATCTTGTGCAATCTGTGTTGTTACGTCTATCATGTGCCCCCTTTGAAAAGGTAAACTGCAGACCCAGAACACTTACATGGTTGGAGTTCTCAGAGAGGGTGTACCTCTGTATTGTACTATAATTGAGAGTGTGATATTGCAATTAAAGACTATAGAAATCAGCACAAGGAATGGGCTCAGCCATAGCTTATGGATGTCCTGATTTTTGAGTGCTTAACTATACTGTCTTCAATTTCCTTTAGCATATTAGATGGAACTTCATGTCAAACAGCTTTTACACTTGAGTATTCCTTTGTATTTTAAAGGGGTCTTTCTATTCATCCTAGAAATAGAAATACAATATGAAGTTAAAGTCAACTTGAAAATAATTTTAACTTAAAAGTAACTAGATTTCAGGTACTAAACCTGTCTGTGGTCCTTGGCCAACTTTTGTTATTCTATTTTTTTTTAAAGTGTTTCACACAAACAGTAAACTGACTTTCTAGTCTATCAAATGAACAAACTAAAAGATAGGGATTTAGAGCAGAGAGCAGTTGCCTTTCAGTTTATAGTAATTTTGGGTGTTGCCATTAACAAAAGTAGATAAAAAATTCAAAGAGAAATATTTTGGTTTGACTGTCTCTTTAAGCCATTCTGTGCCCCATAATCAATTATTAAATCGAAAATTAAATATGTATTTAATAACTATCAAGTTACCATAATTATAAAGCATTGAGGGGAACTAATGTCAATGTACATATTTAAAGTGGTTAATATTTTGCTGTCAGTTAAAAGTGGTCAGAAGCTTTCAACTGTATTACCAAAAAGCACACACAAAATTTTTGTGTGTTGATTGCTGAGTTATTAAATTAGTTCTATTTAAATTATGTTTTGTTTATGAGAGAGGTATCTTTCTCTACACAAGTTAAATAGCTAAGTGGTAATCCTAGATTATAGCATTTTAATGGGTAGAAGCAAATCTCTAACAAGATTACAAACCAGTGCTCAGAAATAACTAACCAGTAATCTGATTACTGTGTTTCTACTTCTAAAGAAATATCAAGTCTTATAATTCAACATACCATTTCTGATTAGGCATCACTCCTAGTGCAAAAGTTATCCTTCATTCAAATCCAAAGCTTTCTGCTTTTTGCATCTTTCCTGGCATCAAACGAGCCTCAATTCCCCTTTTCACTCCATTCCTCTCTCTTTTGTCATTGCACAGCATACTTCATTGGGGGGGGTCAACAACAAAACAACTTTAACTATACTGGTATAGTTCAGCAGTAAAGTTGCACAATCCCTGAACTTGGATATGATTATACCAGTATAAATGCATTCACACTGAGGGGCTGTAGCAGTATAACTATATTGGTTATAATATCCCCCATTCCCTCCTTAACCAAAAGTTATACTGGTAAAAGAGTGGTTTAAACCAGGTCTTAGTCAGTTATGAATTTTAAGTTGTCAGAGCTCTTATGGTGTCCCTCTGGCCCACAGCATTTCCTTGCCTGTTTTTGGCACTGTATAGGCCTCCCTGTACACACCAACTTTTCACCACTGCCATCTCCCCACAGTGTATTTTTCTTTGGCTTTCCACTCACATAGACCCTAAGGTGAACTGAGCTAAGGACTAGTCTGGGTTTCATTGTAAAGCAGAGCCCAACAGTTCCATTAAGATTAAGAAGTCTCACAACTGAACCTGTAACAGGTGCAAATCATTTTAATACTGCTCACTCTATTTGTATATTTTTATTAAACAAGTCTATGTGTATTTACATCATTAACAGGTTGGCATTTTAGCTAAATAATTGATCCCATACTATATATTATTTTATGTGTGTGTGTGTGTGTGTGTATGACACACACACACACTATAACGACAAATACCAAACTGGAAATGGCAACCTACTAACTTGGAGTTATAGCTGCAACATGTAGTCATCTCTTACACATCAAGTGTAAGAGTGGTGACATGTAAGGGAATAATGACAACATATTTCTTCCACCCATGATTAATTGGATTAGCCTCTAACTCACACAGGCCTCATCTATACTAGGGGAAATGTTTTTACAATGTGGTAGCTAACACATTGTAAAACCCTAGTGCAGACAAGGCAAGTTTGTAGTCTTACAACCAGCTAAATCAAAGTAAACACTTTTTTTTAAACACACACACAGCATAAGATATACCCACAGACCTTGCCCACAACCACAATGGCATTGTCTATCCTGAAAAAATTAGTGTTATTGTCTACAAACAAAAGTTGTTTGTGTTTAACCAGACCAGCTCAGCCCCATTATGTGCACAGAGTTATACTGGTATGGCTTATTCCTGTAAGGGAACAATAAGCTACATTGGTATGAAGCAGTTTTATACTAGTATAACTGTTTCCACACTTGGTGTACTAGTGGAACTATCAATAAAAAAACCTCACATCCTTAACGGAAACAGTTCTACTACTTAACCACCATTTAGTCCCAAGTCAGTCATGTTAACTGGTCACAGTTAACTCCATAGACCTCTCTACCATCTATAATAAAATCTGCACAGACGATACTTCCCAAAAGTAGTTTGATGGTCAGTATAGAAAAGTGCATCCTGCACTCTTTACATTATTCCATTCTTTTGAGCAATCCTCAAAAGATCATTATAGCCACAATACAGGAAGATTACTGTGCCTACAAGCAGTTCATCTACCTAAGTCTTCATGATTACAGAAGAAGATTTAATGTCAGGACAAGAAACGAGTAGCAGACAGAAGCCCTTCTAATTTCCAAAGGAGAGAGTTTTATTAAGTGCATCCGGTGCTCCACCTGGCAGCAATGCCCCATTTCATCTGAAGTAAAGCCATTGGACTGAGCTGTTTTGAGGCCTTTGATTCATTTATTTCTAGGGTAACTCCTTGTTGAGAGTGGCCACTGCATCACACTCCAGAAGGAGACTGACACAAACTAATTGTGCTAATGAACAATTCTGGAAATAGCTTCCAATCTCAGCACCACACCATGTAGCTCTAGTGTTTTGAGGCAACATTAAGGACTGGATTGGTTCTAATCCTCCTTTCTCCTCCAACCCTGGGTGAACTCTGCCATGTAAACATCACCCACCCAATCAGATTAACAAAGCCTCCAACTCAGAAGGAAATACCTAATCCATGATTTATATGAGAGGTTTGCTATGTGAGTACTGCAGAAGGGAGAGGATGGAGAGTCATGGCCAGGGGTATTTCACCCTTCTGGTGTCCAATAACCTCCCCAGCAAAGAAATGTATTTGCCCTCTCTATTAACACATTGCTATATATTAGCAAAGGATCATTTGGGTCCACAGTTTCCAAACTTGTGCATGATTTTCCCCCTCCCCCCATTCTTTAAGTCACTGAAGAGCCCCACAGCAGAGATTTTGCCAGCCAGCAGGAGGGCAGGCTGCATTTCTAGGATTCAATAAGGGCAGTTAAACTCCAATGAAAGTTGTGGAATCCCCATCACTAGAAGTTTTTACAACAGGTTGGACAAACACCTGTTAAAGATGGTCTGGGTTTACTAGGTCCTGCCTCTGCAGGAGGCTGGATTAACTGACCTCTCCAGGTCCCTCCCAGCCCTACATTGCTCTGATTGACCCAGAGAGCTGGGAAGTGCAATCTGGCCCCTGGCTGCTCCTTCAGAGACGTTTGGCTTTTCCATAGTGGTTTTGCATGGAAATCTCTCCCCCAGGGTTCAGACAAGGTCATCACAGTGGGAGTTAAAGAGCTGAAAGGAGACCCCAGCACCTCTGCGGGGGGACGGGGGAGGTCACCACCTCCTCCAGCCACTGCCCGCGGCTCCTCCCCTACCTCGGGTTTCCAGCGCTAGTAAACCCGACCCGCCAGTCCAGCCCCCTCCCCGTCGAAGTGCCAGATTAGCAGGGGATCCCTCCCTCGCCTCAGCCCCAAGGCAAGCCTCCCGCAGACGGCGCCCTGCCACACAAGTCTCCAGCAATGCGCGTGTCTCTCGGGGGGCGGGGGCAGCCGCTGCCTGATGCGACGTCCATCCCGAGTTACACCAAGTTCCCGATTGGACCAGCGGCTACTCCCGAGCCCTCATTGCATCAGACGCTGGCCGCCCCCTTGCAGCGCCCCGGCCCATCGCGGGGCGAACACCAGTCTCCTACGGCGCTCGACACCAGGCAACCCCCGCCCGCGTCTAACACCCCGCGGGGCGGGGCAGCTCCCCCAGCCGCAGGGCCCCGCGGGGCGCAGCGCGGCCGGCGGGAGGGAGGGGTCCCCCTAGGTAGGCACTAACTGCCCCCGCTTGTCCGGGGCTCCCCAGCACAGCAGCCGAGCCGGGGGCCGGGCCGGGCGCCGCTCACGTCCCGGGGCCGCGCTGTACCTAGATTTCCCATATCTGCCGGAGTCATCCTCGCTACAGCTGCCCCCGCCCAGCAGGCTCAGACCCGGGGCTCCGCCGTCCTCCTCCTCCTCCGCCGGGATGGCCACTCGGATCCGCACTGGGCCGCTCCCCGGCTCCCCCGCGCCTGCCTCTCTGACCGGGCTCGGAGCGCCACCGGGCCCGTCCTCCAGCGGCTCCGCGCTCCGGCTAGCGACCCCGGGCTGCTCCGGATCGGGGCCCTGGGGGCTCCCTGGCGGCAGCTCGGCCATGAGGCTCGGGTGTGAAGGGGGCGTCGGCGGCCGGTGCCAGGGCAGAGCCCGCCAGAGCCGGCGGAGTCTAGCGAGCAGCGATGCAGCTGGGCTGCCTGCAGCCGCCGCCGCCGCCGCCGCCTTCTCCTCCCGCCGCGCCTCTGAGCCAGGCAGCGCCGCGGCGGCGCCCCCAGCTCCAGACCCCTCCTGCTCTTGGGCGGCCGGCCCCCGCCTACCTTCGCGGGGAGCCAGGGGGCCGGGCCAGCGCTCCCCGTCCGCCGCCCTCCCGGGCAGCAGCAGACAGAGGAGGCAGCGGAGCCAGGCGCTGAGCAGCGCGTACATGGCCGCCCCGGGGTAAGCCTAGCGCAGGGGAGGGGGCAGGCTGCGCGCCAGGGCTTTTATACCCAGGGGCCGGTCGGTGTGCCGGGCTGAGCCGCACGCCCTGGGCGAGGCAAAGGGGGCGGAGGGGCACAAACGCCCCATCCCGGGCAGCCGGGTGGGGGCGGGGATAGTTTGCGAGTGGGGCGAGGCCCCTCTCACCCCACCCAAGGAAGGGGCCGGGGGGTGGGGGTGTCTCTGGACGTGGGATCCGGGCAGCACCACCACCCTCGGGACAGAATCTCCCTCCTGTAGGCACCCTGTTTCAGGAAGGCGTGGAGTAGACCTCTCCCCATGTCGGCGAAGGACTCCGCTGGGTGAGTTTCCATGAGACAAGGGCTCACTCATTTGTGGGGGCAGGAAAGGGGTTATTGCACTCTTCTAAAGTAGAGTCACAGTTTGCCAGCCTTCTCCTAGTCACAACCTCTGTAATCCTCCTGTATATGCAGGAGGAGGCCTGGGAAAATCCCTTCATCCAAGCTAGTAGGGTGATTCAACCTCTGGATGTCATCAGGACCCTCCAGATACTAGGGGCTTTGTTTTATATACATAACTATAATCCCCTGTGCCCCCCCCCAAAGTCCTGATTTTTCACATTTAGCTGGCCTGCCCTATAAGTTAGCAACATTCAGTGGCTTCCAGGCCTGGGAATATGTGATATCCCAAGGTCAGTTTGGGGCTGAGAAGGGTAGACAGAGGGATGGCAAGCTACTCAAACTCAGTCACTGGACGTTTCTGTCAAAATTACTATCCGCCAAATAGTTAATGTTATTTTATCTGTTGCCATTAGGTTTCAGAGTTAACAGTTCAATGCGCTGATTGGCATCAGTTCACACCTCTTTCCCCGGTGTTATTTTCAGCTATCTGAAGAAAGTGCTGCATCAGGTCAAAATAGATTATCTTGGCAACCATAAGAGGTAGGAATTAATTTTTTAAATGTAATTAGAAAGTGATTGGGCCATCAGGGAAGTGCAGCTATAAGGGTTCACTATATTCCAGTTGGACTTCTGATTATCTTCTATCTATTCCTTGATTTGCATTCTTATGTGCTAAATATATTACAACATGCAGTTTATCTTAGTGAACAACTTTGAGACCTTAATGTGATTTTGCATCTAATGACTTCATAAAGAAATCACTGCATGCAATGCACAGCTTCCAAAGTATAATGTGACTGTCATACAAAGAAGTTTATGGTAACTATGAACAGCTTAAAGGAACTCAAGTAGCATTGTCTTTTCCTAGTATTTGAATATATTGAAAATGTCTGTTGTTTTAAATTGTTTACATTCCATCTTGAGTCTCATCTTCCGGAAAATTAAAATGGTTTATTCAATAGCTGCTGAGGTTGTAAATGTTTGAGAAATGGCCTGAAGATAACAAACATGAATAAACAGAAATGATTGCATACATTTTATTGTTTTATACTGTAAGATCATAGATGTGCCTGGTGCTTTACAGAGAGACTATAGACATGGTACCTGCTCTGACCAGCTTAACTTTAACATGGGAGTTGCTCCATTGACTGTGTCTTGCCCATCTGTAAAATGTATTTCCCTGGTGGTATGCGGGAAAATACACTAAAGAATGAGATGCACTCTAATACTGCAGTGATGCAGGGTCATACACATACCATAGATAACACAATGTTCCTGTGAGGCAAAGGGGTGGTATTCCCATTTTATATCACCTGAACTCTCATTTATCAAACCTTTAAAAACGATTATATTGATAATCCAATGTACTACACTCGAGGACTTCACTAAACTCACTCATATCAATGGCACTTTTTCATCATAACTATTTTACTTCAAAGGCAAAAATAACAATACCTCATAGCTTATGTTCAAATAAATCTGTTAGTCTCTAAAGTGCCACAAGTACTCCTTTTCTTCATACTTACATAGTATCTTTCATCCAGAGTGCTTCAGAAATACTAAGTCAGTGTATAGGAGCAATCACTTCCTGCCCACTGAAATACATGGTTATAATCGTGTACCAAATACAACAGCATTTAGGAGAGAAACAAAGTTACCAACATTTTGCCAGTTAGGTGATAGGTGCTTTAGAATTCTCTGAAAGATGGAATTTGAACAGTACAACATCAGTCCGAAGTCTGGCTGTCGGTCAGAAAGTAGGGGGAGAACAAAATGTCTATGATTTCCCCCTGAAACACTGTGTGGATTTTTTTAATTAAAACTTTTGCCATTGTATTTCCATGAATCAGGTGGCCAGCCTTCTCAGTCTAGGAGAAATTGGCTGGAGACTAGCATATGACCATTTTAGTAATCAGCCAGATAACTTCCAGATTTGGGTCTCTTTTATTGCTTTGCATTGTGGGATTAAGTGACTAGGCAAGAGTAAAATTAGGTTAGGTAGACAGTCTCAGAGGTTCTGGGTAGAGCTGAGCACTTTTCCATTTCTAATCCCTATGGCAGTGTTTCTCAACCTACGGCTCATGTGACATCCTCAGGGCCATACAGTATTCCTGAGGGAATTCTGCACCAAAAAAAAATTAAAAATTATGCGCACAATATTTTAAAATTCTGCAAATTGTATTTGTTAATAAATAAATGTGGTTCCAGCATGGCAGTGGGGAGCACAGGCCACTAGCTGCATTGAGGTGGGAGATCATCCTGAAGCCCCTACTTCCCCTAGTACAGGGACTCAGCAGTGAGGCTGCACCTCACCCTGACACAGTGCAAGGGCTGGGCCTGCCCCAGAAACACCCAGGGGCCCTACCCCTCTGTGGGTGGGCAGGCTCAGCCCAGCAGGAGCCAAGTGTGGAGGGGCTTAGTGTGTGGGGGGAGATCCAGGTGTGGGGTGAGAGGTTTCTGTGTGGGGCAATCTGAGTGTGGACGTCTCAGTGGGAGATCTGGATGTACAGGGGTTCGTTGGGTGGTTCCAGGTACAGGGGCAATGGGACTCTGCAGGGGATCCAGGTGGGTGTAGAGGCTCAGCAGGGGGGGAGTCTGGGTGCTGGGGGAGTGGGGCTTGATGGGGAGGGGTCCAGGTGCAACTGGTTAGGGCTCAGTGGCATGGGGGTCTGGGTGTGGGAGCTCATCCAGGGGGGTCCAATTGTAAGGGGGTAGGGCTTGTCAGGGTAAGGGTTTGATGGTCCTGCTTAATGGGGGAGCGCAGCTGCTGCTGAGGGGACGCCACATGCCTGACTTCTGCTTCCCCCGCGATTCCCCTTTTCTTCCCCATCTCATCCCCCTCTCCCACTGCCCCATCCCTCTCCCCTCCCTCCCACATCCCCCTCCCCCTGTCCTATTCCATCCCCTTCCTTCCCACTGCCTCTTCCCCCCACCCCCTAGCCCACTTCCCTCATTTCCCTGCTCTTCCTTATCCAGCCTCACCGTTGGCACTCACTGTCGCACAGAAAACAGGAAGGCTCCCAGCACATAGAAGGGGAGCATAACTGGCACTCGGACCAGGAGGCGGCATTCAGCTGCATAGTCCACACACAGTCTACTTCGGTGGGGCAGCTTTGCACTTGCAGAAATGAGAGGAAGAGGAGTGGTACATAACCCAGTGTGCCCCCCATGTCTCGCCTCTGTTTGCGGGGAGGAATCCTCCCCAAAAAACTGTGCCCGCCATCATGCCCCCCGCCCCCCAAGCCGTGTGGCTTCCCTTTGCTTCCCTGCTGTTTTCTGCAGGGAAGCACAGGATTTCAGGCCCGGGGGGAGGGAGGGGGTGTGGGTCCTGCGGGCATGCAGTCTTGCAGAATTCCCCCAGGAATAAGGTAGTACAGTGTACATATATTGTGTGGATGCGGGCCACATAACGCATAGACAGCTGCATATGCAGCCCACAAGGGTAAAGAGGTTGAGAACCACTGTCCTAGGGGTTCATGTTACCCTTTGAAAAATTCCTTCAATTTCAAATTCAAATGAACCCAGTATTTCCAAGTGAAACTCACTCTGTCTTTGCATCAGCTCATGCAGAAATAAAATTTCATATGGTTTTGCCACAAAAGCATCAGTTGACTCAGATTTTAAAAATATCCATACTTAGCTTTTTGCTGAGTCTCATCTGAGTTCATAATGTAACCCCCTAAAGCCCAGGTAAGTTTATCAGTGTTTCCTGCTTAGCTGCAAACACTTAACATTAGTTGTGAAGGCTGAACAAAAACTCTCTTGTAATTTCAAGAGTGGCTATAGAGTGAACGTGCAGGGTTTTAACTTTGACTATTTTAATCTTCAAGTGGACAACACCAGAAGTAATCTGTGAGTGGATGTTTGCCTTCGGCACAGTGTCCCTTAGCTGTAACAGAACAGATATAAGACATTCCTGATGTTCCTGGTATTAAGAATTGAGGGCTTAGTTCAGGGATGGGCAAACTTTTTGGCCCGAGGGCCACATTGGGGTTGCAAAACGGTATGGAGGGCCGGGTAGGGAAGGCTGTGCCTCTGCAAAAAGCCTGGCCCCCACCCCCATTCGCCCCCTCCCTCTTCCCTCCCCCTGACTGCCCCTTCAGAACTCCTGACTCTTCCAACCCCCCTGCTCCTTGTCCCCTGACCGCTCACTCCTGGGACCCCTACCCCTAACCGCCCCCCCAGGATCCCACCCCCTATCCAACCCCCCCCTGTTCCCTGTCCCCTGACTGCCCTGACCCCTATCCACACCCCCACGCCCTGACAGGCTCCCCGGGACCTCCTACCCATCCAACCCCCCCACTCCTTATTCCCTGACCACCCCCTCCTGAGATCCCCGTCCCTAACTGCCCCCCCAGGACCCCACCTCCGTCCAACCCCCCATGTTTCCTGTCCCCACCATCCCAGGACCCCCCGCCAGGGACCCCACCCCCTATCCAACCCCCCCGCTCCCTGTCTCCTGACCACCCCTCCGAACCTCCGCTGCATCCAACCGCCCCCTGACTGCCCCCCCGGGACCTCCTGCCCTTTGTCCAACCCTCCCGCCCCGTTACCATGCTGGCAGCAGGACAGGCTTATTGGAAAGCCTGGGAGGTGGGCAGGCACAAGCCGCACTGCTCGCTTGGCGACATGGCTGTTGGGGAAGGGCCGGGGACTAGGCTCCCTGGCCGGAAGCTCAGGGGCCAGGCAGGATGGTCCCGCGGGCCAGATGTGGCCCACGGGCTGTAGTTTGCCCACCTCTGGCTTAGTTGTTTGCACTTGATCTGTGAGCATCAGGGAACCTCAACACACTGTTGGGTCCTGCCCACATAGTAGGAAGATCAGCAGGCTCCAGGATTTGTCCATAGCAAGGGAGTGGGTTGGAATTATTTCCATCCTAACTGCAAACTGTCTGAAAAGATAATGTGGCCTCAGGCTGTTTTAGCTTTCCTATGAGCCTCTCTTTCCTATTGAATCCCTCCTGTAAGGGCAATTTCTAGTGGCAGCCTGAGGCCCTTAAGGGTCATACTGTAATAGGGTCATACTGCTAAAGAGCTGGGGAGAGCAGCAAGAAGCCCCAGAGTATAGAGAGGAACAGAGTCCTCCAGGTGGACAACTTTACTGCCTATACAGCACACTAACCCTCAAAGGAATGAGGTTATCACCTCTGAAATGATATCAGATCCTGCTGGCCTGAGAAACCAATGAAACTTGGGTGAATTAAGGTAGCACAGAAATAACATATTCGTGGAAACTTACATGGAAAGATTTTTACAGAACTTTAACTCTGTCGTCCTGTGGGTCTGATTTTAGTGGAATAATTTATGGTAAACACTGCAATCAAACATTACTATACATTCAGAATATGCCCTTCAAAAGGGTTTGGACTCTTCTAACCCTTCACTTAGATAATACAAAAACTATTTTTATGTTTTTATATAATACAATTTTATTTTCTAGGTTAAATCTTAGTTTGTTTCCTACTGAATTTCACCATCCTCAAAAACCATGAATTAGGAGAAATGTATGAGAACTCCACACATAATTTTGAAAGATGATTCATTTATAGTGGTGACTAATCTAGATAATCTGAATTTAGTGAGTAAAAGGATAATTCCATACAAGCTAAAAATATTAGTTTTGTTTAAGTGTTTAACAAAGTTGAAGTAAAAAGATAACAGGATTTTAGCATGTAATTGATTAAAACTAAACTATTGTACACTGACTACAGGCTTTTGTTACAGGCTAAAGTTTTCAAAAGTCTCTAAGTAACTTAAACACTAAGTCTCATTTTCAAAAGTGACTTAGCAGTTTGGATCCAACAAACAAACCCCTACCTCGACTAGACACTTCGCTACACATGCTTTTCCCCCAGAGAGTATGAGAGAACAACCACCACATGACATATGTTAGTCATGTTGCTTAATGTACTACTGGAAGATGCTCAGATACTAATATGTGCAGGTGGCATTAGAATCTATGTCCAACAGAGCTGAAATCAGTTTTGAAAGCTAGACAGGCATTTTAAAATATTTTAGCATCAGTCTAAAAGTCTGTGCAATAGTCCTTTAACTCCACTGAGACATGAAAAGCTCCAATCCTTATAGAAGTGATGACATTGGTCATGCATACCATTACTATGTGAACTTTTTTACTTTTGGGGAATAAGATGTAAGAAGTGGGGATTGGAGTAGAAATAGTTATTTCTAGCAATACATCTATTGGCTAAACTGTATGGAACCTGTGTCAGAGTAACAGCCATGTTAGTCTGTATTCACAAAAAGAAAAGGAGTACTTGTGGCACCTTAGAGACTAACCAATTCATTTGAGCATGAGCTTTCGTGAGCTACAGCTCACTTCATTTAACGGAAATCAAATTGAACAGTTCCTGCCTAAAGAAACAAAGCTCCTTAAGAAGCGAAGAGGGTGAGCGGCTCCTGGGTGTAGCTATTGGTACCATGAGTACATGCCTCCCCAGGCAGCCCAGGGCTATGGGACACCTTCACAGCCAGCCGTGCCGCTTCACTGGTTAAAAAACCCCGTTTCACAATATTGCTTGGCCCTGGCGGAGCAGCAAGGGCCAGGGGACGACGAATGAAAAGGAAGAGCCTGGGCGACGGAGGGGGCCGCTGAGAGTGACGCGAAATGAACAAGGCCTTGGCACCAGGGGAGGGCAGCACAGACAGCAGAGCCCGCAACTGGGCGCTCAGCACCGCGGCCAGCGCCCCCCTCCCCGCTGACCCTGCCCCTCCAGGGCCCGTTCGCTTCGCTCCGGCTGCGGCTGGGTATCCCCGGGCCGGCCCTGCCCTGGGGGCGCGGGGGTGGGGGGAAGCCAGAGCGCGAAAAAACTGGACCGGAAGTGGTGGTTGCTAAGGCAACTCGGGAGAGGTTTCCGCCGGCCAAAGCAAAAGGAGGCGGTGGCTGCGCGGCGTGGTAGCCGGGTGGCCGCGCGGGGAGACTCGTTTCCATGGTGCCCAGCAAGTTCCGGCCCGGCGGCGGCGGCAGGGCCGGGCCCAGCACTGTAGGTGCCGCGAGGGTGAGGGGAGAGGATTAGTAGCTGCAGCAGCGGCCGCCGCGGGAGGGGAGGGCGTGGGCCCCGCCAGTGGCAGGTGCGGGGCTTGTGAGCTGGATGCCTCGGATCTTGGCTGCCCCAGGGAGCTTTGTGCCCTTTCCGCGCCCGCCGGGCTCCCTGGTCCCCGCCCCACATATCCTGGCCGTCTGCCGCCCAGTGCACGGGCAGTGTCCCGGCACCCTGGGACTATCACCCCTCGTAGAGGCCATGGCTCCATCCCCCCTTCTCTCAGCCTGCGGGTGCGGTCCGCAGGATCCCCCCACCCGTGCCCTGGCTTGCTGCCCCTCCGAGGCCGTGCCCAGCCCCGCCCCACCTGCCAGGAGACGACGATTCTCCCCCGCCCCGTCTCACGCCGAGGCTGCTCTCCTCGCTCTGCTCCTGCACCCGTGGAAACGCAGGCTGGGCAAGCTGCTCCCTTTTGCTAAACGCGAGCCAAAAATTCATCTTTGTCAGGACTTCGAATGTGTAAATTACTGTGTTAATGCTCAGTGTTGTTGTCTGGATTATTTTTTCTTTTGCATCTCATACCCCTAGAGATGGGGAATTGCGCAGGTGGGCAGGTAGTCACAGCAGCTGTTTGGTTGCCCTTGGATGCTGCTTGCTTGTACCATCGTACATGTGTTTCAGGGAACACCTCAACACCATGCCAGCTTAAAATTTGCCAGGCTGTACAGTACACTAGCAGTGATTATGATCAGGAGGATAGAGTATATTTACATGTACACCTCTACCCCTATATAACGCAGTTCTCAGGTGCCAAAAATCTTACCGCATTATAGGTGAAACCGCGTTATATAGAACTTGCTTTGGCCGCGAGCATTTCCATTATTAATAGTCATTTCCTGCCCCCTGACTCACCCCTCAGAACCCCCGACCCATCCAACCCCCACCCCCTGCTCCCTGTCCCCTGACTGCCCTGACCCGTATCCACACCCCCGCCCTCTGACAGACCCCCTGGGACTCCCACGCCCTATGCAATGTCCCCATCCCCTGACCGCCGCCCCCAGAACCTCCGAACCATTCAAACCCCTCTGTCCCCTGACCGCCGCCCAAAATCTTCTGCCCTTTATCCAACCCCTCGGCCCCAACCCGGCAGCGTGTTGGAGCCAGACACGCTGGTCCGCTGGAGCAAGCAACCCCGCCCCCCAGAGCACTGCTTTACCACATTATACCCGAATTCGTATTATATCATGCCGTGTTATATCAGGGTAGAGATGTATGTATGTTTCATACTGTGCCCCCTAGGTGTGTGAACTGCTTTGTACATTTCTACTAAACAGTTGTGATTATTTATTTAGAAGTGTTTTGAAAGATTAGCTTTAAGCTTTGTAATGTAAATAATAAACATTTTAAAAACCTGATATTTGTCCCTTAAAAAAAGTCTCAGAGGGATATTTTTCCATTTAAAAATGTAACTACCTCTGAGGGGGAGAAAAAAAAGAGTGGTTATTTCAAGCTGGTTTTTGTATGTGTGCTTTAATGACTAAGACTATGTCTACATTACACACCACTTTCAGTGGGGTATAGGGTATGTGTAGCTATGTACCTCAGTGAAAAGCCAGCTGCATCCATACTGCAGGTGTATAGCTACATGTCTCAGTGTGAAAAGCTCTAACAGGTGAGTAAGAAGACCTCCCCCTGCCGGAGTCTTTCCCTGCTGTGCAGGGAGGTTCCAGCAGCTCCATTGTCGGAGTCTTTCCCTACACTAGGGAAATGCTCCAGCAGCTGGGAGGCGGGGGGACACTACATGACTAAAAATAGCATTCTAGATGGGAAGACACAGCTTGGGTGAGTAGAGAGCACTGTAGGGTATGTACTCATATACATAGTCACGCCCCTTCCATGTGTCTTTACTTCACTGTTTACACTGCTGTTTAAACTTCTGCTGGGGGGCTATTTGAGTATGTACTCTACATCAGGGATGGGCAAACTTTTTGGCCCGAGGGCCACATCTGTGTAGGGAAATTGTATGGCGAGCCATGAATGTTCACGAAATTGGGGTTGGGTTGCGGGAGGGGATGGGGGTGCGGGTTCTGGGGTGGGGCTGGGATGAGGGGTTTGGGGTGCAGGAGAGTGCTCTGGGCTGGGATCGAGGGGTTTGGAGGGTGGGAGGTGGATCAGGGCAGGGGATTCGGGTGCAGGAGGAGGTCGGGGTGCAGTCTCCAGGCGGCGCTTACCTCAAGTAGCTCCCGGAAGCAGCAGCATGTCCCCCATCCAGCTCCTACACGGAGATGTGGCCAGGTGGCTCTGCGCGAGCTGCCTCCCCCACAGCTCCCATTAGCCACGGTTCCCGGCCAATGGGAGCTGCAGGGGCAGCGCTTAGGGCGGGGAGAGCATGTGGATCCCCCTGGCTGTCCCTATACATAGGAGCCGGAGGGGGAACATGCCGCTGCTTCCAGGAACTGTGCGGAGTGGGGCAAGCCCCAGACCCCACTCCATGGCAGTAGCTCGAGGGCCGGGTTAAAACGTCTGATGGGCTGGACGCGGACTGTAGTTTGCCCACCCCTGCTCTACATACTACCAAAAGATGCATGCAGTGTAGACCAGAGTTCCAGAGGCTGCTTGAGTGTAAAATGGAAAGAAAGTATGATGGGGGTGATCAGTGAGTACAGATTACCATAAATGAATATACTTTTGTCCCTTCTGACGGTATTATCTAAGACAGCCTTCTTTATTGGATGAATTATTATATTTAGAGAATTTCCCTCATTAATAAGGTATATTTAGCCTTTTGTTTTAAGCAGTCAGTTTTTGCAAAATGCCATCTGTTTTTTGTTTTTTTTTTCAATTTACAGGTTAACAACTGTGGACTTCATCTGGTTCTTCAAACCTCTTCAGTGGCAGAGAGAAATAAGCCAGTAAGATCCAAATATGATTTTTTTTTAAATTACTGAAATGTAACTTAATTAGTTATTCCAACTGTATTAGTTAATACAGATGCAAAAATACTCTTGTACTTAGTATGTTGTTTTGTAAAGATTTATTTCCGCCATCGGGGACAGGTGCTATATAAAATAAAAGCACTGGGGTTAATCACTGCTTTGCTATGAACCCAGAATAAGTTTCAGCATCTTGTTGTGCCTCCTTTCTGTTTTTCCTACTGCTCTGGGTGGGGAGTCTATCTGGTGCAGTGCATGTTTTCCAGTTCAGCTGTGCTGGCCAGTGTATTGTGGGGAGTGCAGTCATGTCTCAATTCCCATCTTTTTCTTCTTGCCTATGTGCTTGAGAAAGTGGAAGAGTGGCCAAGTAGAGACTGCTCCCCCTCTAGTACCACTCTCCAGCATGTGTTTGACTCATTATTATTAAGAAAACAGATTTCTTGTTACTGTATTCATGCCTAGTACCCTGAAAATAATTGTATATTGCACGTGCAAGATTTGACATTGGAGGCAATCTTTTTTAATCTACTGAATTCTTGCATTTATATTCTAAAAATAAAGATCTTCAATAGAATTATTCTTTTAATGGATATCTATTTTATAAATAACACATTTTGGCTGAGATTTTCAAAGCCAGCAAAACAATGTAGACACCCAGTAGCTATTAATTTTAATGGGACGTGGGTGTTCAAATTCTCTAGGCAACTTTGAAAACCTCAGCCTAACTGAAGTACTATTTGTACCTTCTGTCCATTTTCTTGTTGATAATGAAATATTTTAAATGAACATAATTTTATCTAATCTGTTTTAGATATTTATAATATGCCTGTTCAATAAACCTGTCATATGAAGTCTTTCTGGTACTTCACAGTGAAATCTGAATATTACTGCCTTATTGAAGTGAATAATACATTTTAACGTGGGATAAATCAGCTATTAATGATCATTCCCCAGAAAAGAAATATCTACCTTACATAAATTATAATAACCATGTTCCAAATTCATACAGTTAACTGTAAAACAATATGTGTGTTTAAAAATCTTGTTTCACATATGTCATATTTTAAACATTGTGTTGCAGTTTGAATTCAGGGTAAATAAAGACCAGTCGTCTTTCCACAACAGGCTCTTGCAACATGATCTGGAAAAAAACTATTCAGGAAAACAAGGTAAAGTTTCCTTTTCTAAAAAAGAAAAGGAGTACTTGTGGCACCTTAGAGACTAACCAATTTATTTGAGCATGAGCTTTCGTGAGCTACAGCTCACTTCATCAGATGTATACCGTGGAAACTGCAGCAGACTTTATATACACACAGAGAATATGAAACAATACCTCCTCCCACCCCACTGTCCTGCTGGTAATAGCTTATCTAAAGTGATCAACAGGTGGGCCATTTCCAGCACAAATCCAGGTTTTCTCACCCTCCACCCCCCCACACAAATTCACTCTCCTGCTGGTGCTAGCCCATCCAAAGTGACAACTCTTTACATAATCAAGTCGGGCTATTTCCTGCATAGATCCAGGTTTTCTCACATCCCCCCCAACCCCATACACTTTACCACGTAATGCTATTTGCCAATTCATTATTTAGGTAATGTAGTTTTTCATATAATAATCATGTCTTGCTTTATAAAAATCATAGAAATTGTCCATCATTTCATGGAAACTTTGTAAACATGTAAACATTTGTAGGACAACACAGTGAGTTTTGCACTGAAATAGTCTGTGCTGTGTCAGCTTTGAATGATAGAATTTAAATGTTTACAAGGCTGTTAATCCAGCATCTTGGAAAAAGGTTATTTCTCAGTCTTCTGATGCTTTTTTGAAGTACTTTGAAATCAGGAATTTTGTCACTTGCACTACTGTCTAGTTACCAGAACAGAATATGTAGGGAGTTTCAGTGTAAACCTGGGTGTCTGACATATCACACACTGTTAATTTGCTGCTTAGCTGAGGAACTAGCTCTTTAACACAATTACAGACCTAGTTTTGGGGAACTAATAGTTTTCTTTTGAATAAGGTTGGGGAAATATGTTAAATATGGGGACCATCTACTATGATGATATCCCTTGATATCAAAAGTAAGAAAGTAACCAATATTCATTTTATGTGAATGTATTATGTTGAACTTGTGTGTGTGTGTGATTACAGTCTCCTATTCTATCAGTACCCATAGGCTCCATGAGCTCAAAAAATTCAGACTGTTTCTCCTAAATCTGTTGCTTCAATAATTGGGATAGTTGAATAGTTCTTTCTGGAGCACTTTGTAACTTTTAACTATCTGTGCCAGAAGAAGAATTTTTTGTTTGTTTGATTAAACTAGACAAGACAGTTTTTAGATCAAGGTCCTGTTTAAAGAGGAGAATGATTCCACTGGGAAGAAAATAGGGGTCATTTTCCTAGTGAATTTTTTTAAACAACAAAATATCTTAGCTGTATGGCAGTGAAAGCCATATAAGATTTCACTGCCAATTGTACTGTGGATGGAAGGAGCCATAAAATTCATCACGTTTTTTGCCATGTTGCTGCTGCCTGCATCCTACAGGAATTGTGATTGGAGTGAACATAAGATTGGTTTGATTACAGTGATATGGAAGTCTCCAAACACCAATCGGTTTTTTATGTATGTGTGACATACCATGGTACAATCCAGACTAATGAGCAACTGTGTCACCCCTGCCCTGCAACCTTGGGTGCCTTACAATGCCTTGCTGAAGTTGCTCTCACCTGGGCTGCTCACAAACAGCCTTCCAGCATAAGTTTCTGTTTATGGCTGCAGCCTGCCAGACACACTTGGGTTACACTCTAGCTCTCACTAGCCTTGGTTTTATTGCAGGATGACCCCAATAGACCCCCAGTCTTAGATTTCCCCTCAGAAATGTATGTCCTGTACTGCCTAGCCCTCTCTTGGACAGTACCAGTTATATTAAGTCCATTATTCCTTTAAGAGATATGCACACAACTTGTCACCCACAATGGAGTTACCCAGAAACTTCAATTTAAACACATTGGATTAGACAAAACAATAAAAAAAGTTTATTAACTACAAAGAGAGAGATTTTAAGTGAGTACAAGTAATAAGTTACAAAAGTCAGAAATGGTTACAAGAAAAATAATGTTTACTAATACCTAACTTAACAAACTATATCAGATTCAAGCAGAGTTTCTCAGGACATGCTTTCAGCAGTCTGACTGACCAAGCCCTATAGGTCAGGACCCCTCCCCCAGAATCTAACAGATGTTTCGTTTGCTGCTTCAAGTTCAGTGAATGCGATAGGCAGGGAGAGAGAAAGAGAAAGGGGAGCCTTGGGATGTTTGTCCCTCCTTTTTCTAGTTTCAGTCCCTCTCTTGAGAAACATTTCCAGCTGAGCACTAGGAGTCAAAGAATCTGTGTGGAAGGATGTTCCCTTCTGGGTTTTTTCACCTGTTAGACCTTTTTTTATTTCCCTTCATGCTTGATGACTCTGTGCTCTGTTTAATTTGCATTTAAGCAGTAAACACATTTCTTTGTTTAGGACAGACCTGTTTGCCAACTTCTGTTTTGGCAGGAGTCGGGGGTTTGGAACATATGTTAATAACATCATACAGGGAAATCTTATAACTTCACATATAATGTTGCCACACACATTTTATCAGGATGATACTGACCAACAAATTATCAGTTTTCAGATGATACCTTAAAGGGCATACTTGTACAAAGGTTATTACAATAGTGTGTAGGGTATGAATACAGGGGTGTATTCTGTCACAGCATGTCCAGTTCTTTTTAAAGAATACAAATAAACAAAATACTCTTTAACATAATGATTTTGTAGACAAATAAACGACTGATTTCTAGATAGCTTGTGTAGTTTATTTCATTGGCGCTGGAGCACCCACATGGAAAAAAGGTGGGTGCTGAGGAGCCCCTATCATCTCCCACCCCCCCTGCCTGCCGGCGGGTCCCATGGATCAGCGCCTCCCACTTGCGGTGAACAGCTGTTTCGAAGTGCAGGAGGGTGGGGGGAGGAGTGAGGACATAGCGCGCTTAAGAGAGGGGGTGGAGCGGGGATGGGAAGGGGTGGGCCTTAGGAGAAGAATGGAGTAGGGATGGGGCCTGGGTGAGAGCCGGGGTCAAACACCCCTGGCTCTTCGGAAAGTCAGCTCCTGTGGTTTATTTTATTGTGCAATGAACTGCAGGTTTGTGGTAATTTATATTTTTTCCTCCAGGAGATGGAAGATTATTGACCCCTTTGGTGCGTAATAAGCAAGTGTATGTCCCAGTAGCAGCCAATTTGGCAGAACTTTCTGGTCTGGAATTGAAACAAGGTGCAGGCTGTCTATCAACATTTGGAGATTCTTCTATTCATACTCCTACAAAATCCAGAACCCGACAGGGCTGTCATAGCGCTGGTCCAAATATTTCAGGTAACTATGGAGACTAGTCTGTGTTGATAAGTAGTCCAATTTTTTTCTTTCTAATTATGTGTCTCATGGAAAAGTTATAGGTTACAACTCCTCATGCCTCTCCTTTTGCCAGGATGTGTGGCTAATCAGAAAGCACTGGCTGCTAATCCTTTATGTTTTTGTATTATGAGTATCAGAATGAGCCTTATCAATAAATTGTTAGTTATAGTTTTACATTAAAAGGACCTCTTTTCTTAAATATAGATTTCTTCTTCTTCTTCCCTAAGTTTTGTATTGTCTGTATGAACCATTGTCCAATATTATACCATACTCCACGCAGGCTTCCTGTTACGTTTCAGATTGTTTTTCAAGTCTTTGATCTTGCATGTATTGGTCCAAACAATTAAATTAAACTTATTTAATTTTCTCTTTGGTCCTATCTATTCATTATATCCCCCCCATGTCATTATTGCTTTTTTTGTGTGTGGGGGGGGGAGGAATTATCTTACTCTCCCTCTCTGCTCCCCACAAAAAAATAAAAACGAAGTTTGGGTTGCTCCAGGAATTTAGCATGAAAATTAGGGGAAAGTGCCGAAAGTGTTATGTTTTTAAACAAGAATCCTACCTAATCACAGTATTCATCAGTATGTCTGGTCCAGGGGCAGGCAAACTTTTTGACCTGAGGGCCACATCAGGTTTCCAAAATTTTATGGTGGGCCGGTTAGGGGAGGCTGTGCCTCCCCAAACAGCCAGGCGTGGCCTGGCCCCCGACCCCTATCTGACCAACCCTGCTTCTCGCCCCCCTAACGGCCCCCTCGGGGCTCCTGCCCCATCCACCACCCCCGTCCCCTGATGGCCCCCGCCCCGAAAGCCCCCCACCACCCCATCCAACCCTTCCTCTCCTTCTGACTGCCCTCCCGGGACCCCTGCCCCCATTCAACCCCCCTGTTTCCTGCCCTCTGACCGCCTCGACCCCTATCCACACCCCCAGCCCCGACCACCCCCTCGAACTCTCCTGTCATCCATCAACCCTCTCTGCCCCCTTACCTCGCTGCCTGGAGCGCTGGCGGTGCTACAGCCATGCTGCTGCACAGCACAGAGCACTGGGTCAGGCTGGGGCTCTGCAGCTGCACTGCCCCAGGAGCTCGCAGGCCCCCTTCCCCCCCCCGCCCAGAGCATCGCGCCAGCAGCGCAGTGAGCTGAGGTTGCGCGTGGGGCGGGGGGCTAGCCTCCTGGGCCAGGAGCTGGGCTGGAGGGTCCCATGGGCCGTAGTTTGCCCACCTCTGGTCTAGTCTGACTTTAGGTTTAAAACAAAAAGGAATGAACTTTTTGATGTGTCAAAGAAACTATTCTTTGTTGCTTCTTTCAAACTTTCTTCCTCACCCTAACCCCAATTTAAACTTATTTTAATTATAAATTCGTGCAATCAGCTATAGGACTTGAGCCCCCATTCTTATGGGGGGGGGGAGTATGGGCACAGTGAGCTATTTCAGAAGAATAGTTTTTTGGTGAATAGTTCTCCAAATAAGTCAGAGGTTTTCAGGCTGCTTTGGTTTTGTATGTGTTTTAATGAATTTTAAGCCCCTTCTCCTCCCCGCCAATTATTTAACTATTAAGTACAGTATAGACTCCAGAGTAGCCAATTAAATTATGTCATCAAAATAGCCCTTCCTTTCTTTCACCATAACAGAGGGAGACATAGGGCCCATTCCCATAAGGTGCTGTGAACTCCTGACCGTGTGAATAATTCCATTCAGCACTTACTTGACTGGACCTTATAATGTGAGGCTGCTTCATTTTATTGTATTTTTAAAATTAAAATATCATCATCCACACCCACATGGACATATTTCCCCCTTTAAAAATATGCCTAACTTCAGGCATAGCCAGTTATAGGCTTAGAATTGGGGTGAAGTAAAATAAAATTCTTCTAGTTCACCTCTGTTTCATTTGGAAGATGTCTTCCTCAGAGTTCAGATATTGCAGTTAAATCCATGAATGCAACCTGTAACCCGATGTCTGAATGATTCTGGAGCATTCTAATACAAATAAAGGTAACTTCAAGCAGGTTCCAAATTTACAATATACTATAAACAATCAGTTGGTATCAAGCTGTGTAAAATCAACCAAATGAATAGTTACGTTTCTAAAAGCATATGTATAGTATGGTTGTAGTAACTTATAAATAGCACAAGAGAAAACATGGGTAAATAGTCATTCTAATATAAACACTGGGTAGAGTCAATTAAGTACTATGATGGAGTCCTAACATACATGTGAACAATGCATATCTTTTAATTTTTGGCACATAGGAATATTCTACCTTTATTCTGCAGAATTAGTGAAGCAACTTTTAAAATTTCTAAGTCAAGTTATTTTTTGTACAATTTTCTAATAGATAACATAAATTTTGGGAGCAGTTCATCAATCACAGCATTTCCCATTCTGCATCGTGCTGCTGATGAAAAAATACTGAATTCTGATAGGCTGACCCTTGAAAGGTGAGGAATGTTCCAATAAGATATATTTTGAGAATGGTATGTTGTGTAGATGAGAAAAATGTATACTGCACTGCACTTAACACTTCAATGTAATTTGTCATAAATTTGACAAATATTCCATTCGTGCCTGGTCTCAGTTTGAGAGCTAACTTTTTTTTTAGGGTTGACAGATATCTTTTTTGTTATATTTGAATGGGCAAACTTTTGCATTTTAACTCCTTGTAGTTTGGTCTATAATTTGAATTCTGACATGCCAGAATCTTTAAACTAAAGACGGTCTCTATTATTATTAATTAGTATTATTCAACTAATGCCCAGAGGCCCCAATTAAAATTTGGCCCCCATTTTGTTAGATGGTACAGAGATATGAAGACATGGTCCATGCTGGCCTCCATTGCTGTGGTGGCTGAGTACTACTAAAAATTTGTTCTCACAACACTCCTCTGAGGTAGAGAAGTATGGTTATCACCGTTTTAAAGATGAGGAACCGAGGCACTGAGAAGTTAAATGAGTTACAGCTGGTCACATAGGAATTCTGTAGCAAAGCCAAAAAATAAACCCTAATTTCCTGAGTCGTAGTCCAATGCATTGATCATAACATTCTTCCATATAGATAATTATTCCCTCTTGTTAAGATGCTCAAGAGATGTCCCAAAAGAAAAAGTATGCATAAAGATCATGATTAACTCGGAGTCAGGCAATGAAAGGAACGTGATCATGCATCCTGGACCTCATTCTGTCATAATAATCTGCTTTGGAGAAGCTGAACAGCCTTCCTTCCTTCCAAGATGTTCCCTTTCCCCCTTCTCCCAAATTTGGTGGTGACACATCAGAAATGTTCTGGCTTACATTAACACTAAAAATGATTCTGCTGTTTTCTGGCATCAGTAACAAGGAGCAGGCACTGATGCACCAAGGGGTCTGAATGCCAGAGAGACGTGAGGTGAGGACAGAACACCCAGCTTGGGCACCAGTGTACAGAGAAATATTTAGTAAAACACTTAGGAAGCTGCACAAAGAAAGCTGGTTCATGCATTGCTTATGGTTTTACAAGAAAAATACTGTGCTGAAACATGGAGGGCAGGTGCTGTGGAAGATAGTGAAACACTGGAGAGAAAGCATGTCACAGCGTGAGTGAACATGTCAAAATATGCACGGGCACTCCCCAGCTGGTGTCAAAACCCTAGGTAGGAGTGTCCTGTAACTATCTTTTGTCCAACAGTCTGGAAAAAATGGTGACAAGTCACAGCAGAACTTGTGAATTTTGCAAAATCTTAATTTTATATAAATTAGTTTAAAGGAGAATTTTTCTCTTCTCTAGTGCAAATTTGTTTTGATTCTTCCATCCCTAATAGATGCCTTATAAATGGGCATCCCATCTGAAAATTGTAAAAATACTATATTTTGCTCCTTTTCATGTAAATGGTGATAAAGTCCTGCATTAATGATGCATAATTCTTTTACGAGTCAAGTTCCTAACTAATGGTAAGATTAGAAAAATTATCTACACATTCAGGGTAAAACTCTGGCCCCATTGAGGTCAATGGGAGTTTTGTTATGGTTAGCAGGGCCAGGATTTCACCCTCACTTGTTAACTTATCTGTCGGGTTTTATGAATTTCTGGGCTAACACATTGTGGCTATGAGGTCATTTCTGGCTACATAACTATAGTGGCATAACTTTTAGAATAATAATAAAAAAGCAAAGGTCTTAAAAATGAAATAGTAAAACAGGATAAATCCCTAGCCTGCAAAAGTTTATATCCCAGCATGTAGCTACTCCCACAAGGAGTCCCATGAGTTCAGTGGGATTCCTCCTAGAAGCCACTGTCAGAGGGGCTGTAACCCTTTGCAGCACCACACCCACAACTTGTTTTACTTTTGTGTATAGCCTAGATTGGTTTTGTTTTTACTTGTCATATTTAACGTGTATTGTTGCATTTATTAGTTTTATAAAGTAAAAGTTCAATAAACCAATGAATACCCCCCAAATATTAAAAGGATAGTTTTTGATTGGCATTAGTATAAATATGGACTGCTGATATGGTATCCAGGCTGCCACTGGCTGTTGGAAGATTAAAATGTTGACACAGAGGGGCTGATACTGAGATGATGACTCTGTAGCAACACTGCTGAGTAACAAGTAAATAAATGATGATTAAAAGAAAGGCTTTAGGAAACATTTTGAAGCCTCTGGCCATATTTATTAATACAATTTGGTGCAAAATTTATATATTGAGTTTAGTTAACATCACGTAGTTCTAACAGTTCTTAAAATAAATGAAGTTTAACAATATAGTGCAATGAAATGACTTTATTCTATGTGTTTTATTATCAGAGTAGTTCAGATTATTAAAAGAACACTAAATACAAAACAAAAATGGAATATTGAAAATTGTCATGATCTCTTCAGGATTCTTTGGTATAATTCACATTTGCACAATATTTTTACAAATATATTTAATTCCTACTAGGGAGAGTTTGTTTTATGACCTGCTTTACATTTTTAAATTTTCTAATAATGGATTACAAAATTATTACTTATAATCTTTCTTTTTCAGGCAAAAACTGACAGTTTGTCCAGTTATCGATGGGGAAGAACATCTTCGCCTGTTGAACTTCCAGCATAACTTTATAACTCGGATCCAGAATATCTCTAATCTGCAGCATCTTGTTTTCTTAGATTTATATGATAATCAGATAGAGGAAATAAGTGGGCTTTCAACTTTGTGGTCTCTACGTGTCCTCCTGTTGGGGAAGAACAGGTAACAAAAGTTCTTTTGAATAGATCTGTATATTTTATTTATGGTGTAACACCTGTAGCCTGCATCATATCTGTTCTGTTTAAAGTTCCTGATTGTCAGATTAGTTATGAGAGCTGCAAACTGTTTCATTCGTCTCTGTTAGGACCAATGTGGAGCATGGTGCTGGGATTTTTCATTTTTCCAAAATGCCACAAAACTCAGAATTTTTGCTATGGAATTTGCCATTTTGTCTGCAGCCAGATGTTGAACAACTTTTATATCCCTATGTTGCCAGGAACTGCCTGCTGGTGACTCTTGCTCTCTAGTTTTCCCCACAAGAGGGCGTTAATTGAATTACAGTGCATAATCCCTGCACTGTTTGATGTATCCAGGTATCAGGGGGTTGGAGAACCAAGCGCTGGAGTTCAGCTTGCAGCTAGAGAGTGGAGGGAGTGAGAAGTTTGTAAGCCAAGTGGAGAATAGCACAGTAATGAAGTCCTAGGGAGTAGTGGAAAGGAGCTTCAGAAGTTGCCTACAGTCTCCCCTTTTCCTGTCATATATTGGAGGAAGGAGAGTGGAGGCTACAGGAATGGAGCTAAACGGCTCGGGCTCTATGCTCTATAGTTTTAAAAAATTGTCAAAATAATAATGACAAGTGGTAAATGAATAAGTATTTTTAACTGAGATGTGCATGGTTTTGTATGAGTAAGGGAGGATGCGAATGCAAGGTATTTCATGATGGTAGAATAAATGTTTCAGTGAAATTTAGGGTTTGCTGATGTGAAATCGGGTCCCATTGTGCCACTGTGTCTGGGGACTTGAATATAGCTTTCTGGTACAATGGAGTGGCTACACCACATTTAAATATGGAGGAGCAGACTAGTAAGTAGAGCTAAATAATATGGGATCTTGGGATTTTGAGTCTGATAGTGCTTCTAATTATACAGTTCTGTTGACAGGGTAACAAATAAGTTAAAAGTTGAAATATTAACAATTTATATTGTAATACAGGACAATGGATATTGCAAGGAGTGCACAAATCCAGATTACTATGCAAGAATTTTTAGCAATTTCTATTGACGTCCTCACTTTCAGTAAAATGGTTATTTTTTTAAAAGTAAACTAGTTTATCTGCATGATTCTGAGAACAAAGGCTGGTTTAAGTTCACAGCTCCCGAAGTTATGTGGTTACATCAGAATCTCGGCTTTCATTTAAATGTAAAAATAATTTTCTAGCCCTCTGTTTTCTGGCACTCATGGTTGTAAAGAAAAACTTGAAAATGTGACCCAAATATAACTTGTGCAGTGACAGCTAGTTGATTTTGCAGTCAGCCTGAAACAAAAGCTTTGAGAGAGGTGAACTGTATCTCAGTAGGGTGTTAACTTCAGGACCCACTGTTCTGAGGTGAGGGGGAGCCTGAGGTGGGGGGAAAATGGGAGTCTTAAGCTGCTACCCTCCTTTCTGCCACAACCATTCCAAAAGGAAGTGGTGGCCATAGCATGGGAGCGGGAGCATGGGGACAGAACGATTGTGGGGTCTCTGTTGTACCTAAGGCATACATTGCTCCAGTACAGCCCTGCTGAAAAGCGCATCTTAAACCTGAAGAAATTAACTAACACAATAGGGCTTGGCATCTTTGATACACCCCTATACAACTCTGCTGATGCCTGATTGTTCCAAAGGGGGTGTGTGGTTGACTGGTCAGTTTATAACTCTGGTGTTCGTAACTCTGAGGTTCTACTGTAAATTGAATTGGTTTACATCAATGTAATTGATAACAGATTCTGGCCCATCAGCATAGGAATGAATCTGTTTCAAAACTAAACCTAGAATGTCAGTTAATTTAAAGTATGCAAATATACAAATATGAAGTTTTCAGTGGAGTAAATGCCTCCACGGTTTTAGGATTGTGAAGTTAAATTTCTTTCACTCTTAAACACTGTACACATGGCTGGATATCAGGTTTCAAGAAAAGATATAAGCTTGCGATCTTAACACTTTACTTTGCTTAGATGAGGCATGATATTTAGTAGGAATTCTCTGGATTAACTGGATTAACTTTGAATTCTCCTAGGTATCAATTTCTGTATGCTATTAGGTTCTCAATGTTAATGGCTTTTCTCTGTGGGAGATGCTAGAAGTCATCTACTTCAGATCAAGTTTTGTCTCAGATCTGGCGTTCAGGTCAGGTCTTTTTTTGATTTTGGTCAAACTTGTTCAGGGAATACTGGGTGTTAGTTTTAAAGAAATTAATCACTTAGGGACTTCTGCGCCAAAGAAGATTTATTAAGGAGTTTCCTCTCTGGTGCCTTGGACACTGAACTACCTTTCAATGAGATAAGGTGAGAGTTACCAGTCTTTCCCAGTAGTTGTTCACTTTCGCTAACTGCCCAGGTTTGCCAGTCTGCTGTTTCTGTTTGTCTCTTTATTAGATGGTACTATGTTGCGGGAATGCCTGGTTCTGATTGTTTTTTTCATCTCCTCTCTGAATCTTAAAGTTCTCTCTCCCCTTTGTCCCCTCAGCTCAAACCAAATCTCAGTTTCTCCTATGACATGGATACTTTTTCACTGTACTGATGAGGGTGGAATCTACATAAACATAAATCAGCTGAGTTTGAATGGAATGAAAATAGAGAAGGGCCTTGGGTTATAAGCCACCAGGCACCATTCCAGGAAGTTTCCATGGAAACACTCATTAAAACAGGTGTTTTATCTGTCTTACCCTCATCTTCCCTTAGTGGTTTAAAAAAATTCAGAAAGACACATAGGAGCAACAAATTTAACCCTTTTCTTTCTGGAACTGGAGTGGTTGTTTCTACAAACAGAAGGCCTTCATTCACGAGTACACCAGTTTACAGGAGGTTTTTTACTTGTTGATACTTGGTTGAGCTATTTTATGTTTTATTTTTGAGATTATTAAATCTCACTTGGGTAAACTCATCTTTGATATAACTCAGCAGTGATGATGGAGCTAGGCTGTAAACAATAAATCTGGCCTATCATGTTTAGGCATCATGTTTTATATTTTTTCTCAAAAACTTCTTTAACTTTGCAACAGTGGTAATAATACACACAATCAGGATATCAAATGTGATGGAAACAATCTGTCCAATGTACAGTGCTTTTCTAAGAATATTACATTAAAACAACAACAACATTTTATTGACATCCAGGGACACACAATACAAAACTAAAACTTAACCGAAACAAAAATTAGAACCCTGTCCCAAATGTTTTTAAATAACCAAAAATTGGGCAAGTTGTCTACAGATTAACTTTTATGTATTTTGGAGAAACATAGTAAGGCTTGTGTATTGGCTAAAAATAATAAGATTTTTGCCATTTTTATTAAAAATAATAGTTGTTTTTTTAAAAAAAGTCCAAAGATTTAGTCTTAGAGAGTGAGTCCTCCATTTGTTCACATTAATTCAAGAATGGGACCCATCTCTTTAATAATCATGTATTAATTGCATGTAATATCAGTTAATCTTTCCATAATAATTATATCCCACGCTTCAGTCACCCAAAATGAGGTTGAGAGCATTTTGTTTTTTTCCCAAAATAAGTCTGTCATGCCAAGGGGAGAGGTTGCCTTTCCTTTGCTGAAATATATTTTCTCACTAGAGTTTTCTCAACTGCAGGGTCCCAGGAAAACTCAACCTTTGTAATTTTTTTTCTTAAATGAGAGGATACTTCTCATCAGAAAGCTTGAGGAAACCATAACAGTCCCACTAAATACATACGTGTTCCACTTTTCCCACATTTATACCAATGTTTATTAAAGACTGCTCTATTTATTCTTTTCTTTTAATGTTAAAATGGGCCAAAACCTGAACTATGTTTCTGTATCCTTCCTCAGCTAAAACTGGATCATAGCTGAACCATCCCGATATTCATTTCTTTTTGCAAAAGATATAACTGAAGAAGGTTCTGTAAAACCAAACCTATTCTATGTTTGTATAATGAACTTTCCATTCTTGCTGTCTTCTCCAGATGTCCACTCTTAACAGATGTTGAAAAGGAACTTGCAAAAAGCCAGTTTAGGCTCTAACATGCTCTGAGCATTGGCCATTTCCTTTCTAAATACCCATTGGGTGCACATTGCTCCATCAAGTTCTGTTCCATTTTTTCCAGCTGTTGGTGTTCTGAACCACTTTGCATTTGCTTTAGTAGTGTTCAATGTTTTCCTTTGTATTTAGCTTTTGTAGGAATAGTTTAGTCTTAATTTTGTTAGGTTTTTTATTTTAAAGAGTTAAAGGTGATCTTGCCAAAACCAGCGTCGTGCCAAAAACAGTATGTGATGTTGTCATAATAGATTTGTTACTAGCAAGCACACTACACTTTTTCAGTCCTTCCCTTCCACTCTTCCAGAAAAAAGGTCTCATTTGGACCTTTTGTTTCTGAGCCTGAATTCTTTAAACAGGTCAGTATTAATTTTTCACTCAGTGTATAGGCTGGAAGAAAGTTTTTCTCTAGTTATTGCCAGAAGCTAATCTACAGAACGGCTAACGTGTGCCTCAAACTTCACTGCAGCAAGGTGGTAGTCCCAAGTAAACTTAGCCACTTCTAATCTCAAACCATCTATCTCCAGTCATCAAACTTTCCTCTTTTTTTAACTGCATATCAATTCACCATCTTGGAGTAGTAAATGTTGAAGACGTTACATAAGATATACATGCTCCAATTCTTACAATCATCTTTTCCTGCTGAACTTTTTTACATGAAACTTTTATCAATATTTCCACAAAAGTTTCCTACTTTTAATATACACATGAGCCCATGTAATCTTGTCATTGAAGATTGTCTCTAAAAGTAGTTTTAATATTTTGCACATTTCTCTGCTACGGATGAAGGCGTCTGTCTTTCTGCACACAAAGTAGGCTGTTAAATTGGTCCCTTCCAGCCAGTTTAAATATTTTCTACAAGTAGTTCATCTTTAGATGGGAAGACAGTACATAGACTGGATGGTGGATTTTCCCACTGGTTCATGGTTTCTGCTATGGTGGTAGGAAATACAACTAGCAAATAGCATAACTACAAAAATGTAGGCCAAATCCTGAAACCTTTACTCATATGAGTACTCCTATCTAATCGATAGGCGTAGTTGTGTCACTAAGGGCTGTATGATGAGACTCTGTGTTTGTTCAAGTCATTCATATCGACCATCTCCAGCAAAAGGCTGTACTTTATCGCTTGAATTGGAAAAATCATTAAGCAAATTTTAGGTGGTTTATGCACCTGATTACCAAGGAAGTGTTTTCTAATGTTAAAAAAAAAAATCCTATAAAGTTGTCAGAAAGTATTGTATTATTCCTATTTATTTGGGGGCCTTAGCTTTTTGCACTGCAGCATTAAATATTTTACTTATGACTTTTAAGCATATTGCCTAGTACTACATAAAACAATTATTATTTAAGAGTGCTATGAAAGGTCAAAGTTTCCAAATAGTAATAACATCAGAGTGCTGGTATAGTATGCTGTATATAAAAGTTGTGGTTTGGAAACAGCCACTGAAGAGTTGTATTTTGATAAATGGCTAGAAAGAACCCACCCTTTTTTTTACCTTGTTCTGGTTTTTCTAATTGGTTCTTGAAGAATAGAACATGGGATGTTTAATACAGTCTGCCAGTAGGTGATGCTGTTGTCTACATAATAATTTATGGTGACTTGAGGTTGGAATCTCAGCAAATGGAACAGAACAAAAAAAAAAAAAAGCAGTAAAATAGTAGGACTCTTCAGGGCTCTGAGTTAGGCCTTGGTAAGGAGTGGAATGTGCTTGAGAAGAGATGTTGCCAGCCACAGAAATCTCAGCAGCTCTCCAACATCACTTTCTACAAGCTATTACTCTCTGATCCCACTGAGAGTTACCAAAAGAAACTACACCATCTGCTCAAGAAACTGCCTGTAAAAGCACAAGAACAAATCTGCACAGACACACCCCTAGAACCCAGACCAGGGGTATTCTGTCTGCTACCCAAGATCCATAAACCTGGAAATCCTGGACACCCCGTCATCTCAGGCATTGGCACCCTGACAGCAGGATTGTCTGGCTATGTAGACTCCCTCCTCAGGCCCTACGCTACCAGCACTCCCAGCTATCTTCGAGACACCACTGACTTCCTGAGGAAACTACAATCCATTGGTGATCTTCCTAAAAACACCATCCTGGCCACTATGGATATAGAAGCCCTCTACACCAACATTTCACACAAAGATGGACTACAAGCCGGCAGGAACAGTATCCCCGATAATGTCACGGCAAACCTGGTGGCTGAACTTTGTGACTTTGTCCTCACCCATAACTGTTTCACATCTGGGGACAATGTATACCTTCAAATCAGCGGCACTGCTATGGGTACCCGCATAGCCCCACAGTATGCCAACATTTTTATGGCTGACTTAGAACAACGCTTCCTCAGCTCTCGCCTCCTAATGCCCCTACTCTACTTGCGCTACATTGATGACATCTCCATCATCTGGACCCATGGAAAAGAAGCCCTTGAGGAATTCCACCATGATTTCAACAATTTCCATCCCACCATCAACCTCAGCCTGGACCAGTCCACACAAGAGATCCACTTCCTGGACACTACGGTGCTAATAAGGGATGGTCACATAAACACCACCCTATACCGGAAACCTACTGACCGCTATACTTAACCTACATGCCTCCAGCTTTCATCCAGACCACACCACACGATCCATTGTCTACAGCCAAGCTCTACGATACAACCGCATTTGCTCCAACCTCTCAGACAGAGACAAACACCTATAAGATCTCTATCAAGCATTCTTACAACTACAGTACCCACCTGCTGAAGTGAAGAAACAGATTGACAGAGCCAGAAGAGTACCCAGAAGTCACCTACTACAGGATTGGCCCAACAAAGAAAATAACAGAATGCCGCTAGCCATCACCTTCAGCCCCCAACTAAAACTTCTCCAACGCATCATCAAGGATCTACAACCTATCCTAAAGGATGACCCATCGCTCTCACAGACCTTGGGAGACAGGCCAGTCCTTGCTTACGGACTGCCCCCCATCCTGAAGCAAATACTCACCAGCAACCACACAACAAAACCACTAATCCAGGAACCTATCCTTGCAACAAAGCCTGTTGCCAACTGTGTCCACATAGCTATTCAGGGGACACCATCATAGGGCCTAATCACATCACCCACACTATCAGAGGTTCATTCACCTGCACATCTACCAATGTGATAGATGCCATCATGTGCCAGCAATGCCCCTCTGCCATGTACATTGGCCAAACGGAACAGTCTCTACGTAAAAGAGTAAATCAGACGTCAGGACACAAATCAGACGTCAGGAATTATAACATTCAAAAACCAGTCGGAGAACACTTCAATCTCTTTGGTCACTCGATTACAGACCTAAAAGTGGCAATTCTGTCATCTCCCTTTACTTTTCCTTTGACATCTTGTATTACTTACAAGAAGTCCAGTGATCTTCAGTTTAATATTCTTTGTGATTTTCTCACTAGAATCTCCCTTCCTACAAACTCCCAAAAGCCTTCATCACTAATGGTTCCTTTCTAGGTGAGAAGGGACGGGATCAGCTCTTTGCCAGTAGTGTTCTTCTTCAACCAGTGGGGTTTTCTATGGAGAAAGTATTTTGTTTCCAGGTCCCCCCCTCAGAGGCTGAGCACTCTGGATCTGTATTACTATTGACAGCCAGAAAGAGAGTCAAGAGCATAGGTACCTGACTTTTATCCCGTTTCCCCAGAGTGGCAGTGTGCTGCATTCAAGCTAGACCAACAGCCTAGCACTATTTACAGTTTAATAGTATATTTCATATTTTTTATACTGAAGACTATAGATATAATATGTCGTCTATATTTTCTTTTAATTAGCCTGAGCTGTAACATAGACTAAAACTGGTATAAATGCATCTTATATTTAAAATTGTTGTTCTAAAATTAAGGAGTCTGTCTCTGTTATGTGCTGTTTGCTAAAACTGCAGTTTCAGGCTGTTTCTGTAATACAGTAGTTAGTGCACTTATTTAGTATTTTAACACTGAATTAGGATGAGGATTTTGAACTGTTGCTTCAGATGTCATTACATCCTAGAGTAGACTAAGCAACAGGCTCCTTAGTGGCAAGTTCGGGGGTTGGTGAATTGAATATGTTTTTAAAGGTAAAGGAAAGAATATATTTGCTCAAAGCAGGCAAAATACCTGTCAGTTAATGTTTAGATTTTTTAAATAGTTTTGGCTTCGGGAGTAAAGTTCATCTGATGGCTGGAACTAGCATTTTCTATCAAGTACTGTATTGGTAATGGGTGAGTTGAAGCATGAGGATGGAGTTTGTAAGATAGCAGCTACATCAGAGGAGAAGGAAGCACTTAATCTTGCAGAACAAGAGACAATGGAAAATAAAGGGAGGGTGGATTAAAATAAAAACATCTAGTGTGACAGTAGAAGGAAGATGTAAAAATTAGGATGTGTAGATGGTAAACCAAGGGGAGAAAGGAAAAGTATGTAAGTCAGCAAGTTAACCTTTGTTCTTGTACCAGCCACAGTGAAATGGATATGGATGTAAGCTGTTCATTTTCAAAGTGGTGTAAAATAAACTGGATGATAATGTTTGGTGCACCGGATTCTTTTGATATACTGGTAAATGCAGACCTGCTATAATGATGGAAGATCCATTTCCTAGAGCCTTTAATGTATGTGCAAAGGCTATTTCACAACAAAGTGAGTGATTTGGGTAAACTTTTTTTGATGCAACAGATTCAGATATTATTTTAGAATTGAGGAATTAAGGGTAAATGTAACAATCTCACAGAATTTCAACAGATGTAATTGTTTTTTTAATTACTGTAAAAAGGTGTACTGGCCTTTAAGGTTTTATAGGTAGGCTAGCAATACTGTTCCAAGAACAGTACTTCTAGAATAGAGAAATAGTCATTGAAGAAAAGGCAGTGGCTTCGGGAAAGCAGTCTAGGGTTTGGGAGAAAGAACCCATACTCCGAAATGCTTTTAAATCCTCTTGATGTTCCTCATTCCAGTCTTAGACAGTTGGATACCACTCTGTATCACCTAAAGTGAAGGGTCTCTTGAGAGCTCAGAAACATTATAAATTGGTTAAAGGATTGACTAGTTTCATTCTAGTTGACATAAATTGTGATACATTTATTTAAAATTAAAACAAAAAAATAATTTTGTGGGAAAATGTAATTCTGCTTTGTGAGTAGAGCTTATCTATCTTTGTATTATCGCTTTAGGTGGGGTGTGTGTGTGTGTGTGTGTGTGTATTTATATAATATAGACACACACACACACTCTACTGAAGAGTCCTAAGTTAAACAAAATCCATTCTTTCAGTATTATTTGAGCTTGTTGGCAAGAAAGCATCCTGTTGAGTGAAAATCAGACCTGTACTGCATGTGTATTCCCATACTGAATGCTTGACAGACACCAAAAGGTTAATACATGATTACATTACAGGCCACACTTGGGGGAGAAAGTATATCAGAAAACTGTAATAGTGGCACTCCGTGACCCTCTTTTGTTATAATTATCTTGATTTACTAATTAAGTAGTATCTTCCAGAATAACTGTTAAATTCATTTTGTAATTCCTATGAAGTAAATTGGTTCTGGTGGTGACCTTTTGGCAGTTTCGTTTCTAACGTCCTAAAACAGTATTCCTCAATTAATCACAACAGACATTGGTACATTACATTTTATAGAGAAAGGTGCTATGTTTTTCTCTTTCCCCAGTGGCAGTAGCACCTGGTATTATGACTTTAGCCTTTACTCAACACCTGTATCACTGGGTTCCTAAAGTGTCTTGAATGGGTATGGGCTATATACAGAAATTTACTCATTTCGGTTGGTTGACAGTTACCCTCTTATTTTCTTATACTTGGTACGAATAGATGATAAGCTAAATGTTTTTGTAGAAGAAATGTCAAAATACTTTAATCTGAAATGAAAAACAACTTTTGTCAACATTTAAATGTTTCAGAATAAAGAAAATCTCAAATCTGGAGAACTTAAAAAATCTTGATGTTTTGGATCTTCATGGAAATCAGGTACTGTACAGTAAGTACATCTGTTATTTTAAACCATTTGCAAATAACACTGATTTAGACATGTTGCATCTCCAGTGTGGTTTCCTGTAGTATTACTTTTATGAAGGAGGAGTTAATAGTTTTACAACCGCTTTTATTAGTGCGTTCACAGAGATTTATAAATTAATCAAAGGGAGCATGATGTTATTTTGGATTTTGGTTTCTAATTTCTTATATTTGCAGAAGTTTATGAAAAGTAAAACCATTAACTTACTAAATATTCATACAACTAAAAATAACAGGATCAGTTCACTTAGAGCTACAACACACTCATCTAACGCAAAATAGCTGTGATGTAGCTAAAATAATATGCAGTCATTTTTATGGTAGAAGAGTTAAAATGGTTACAGTAACCAGTGAAATATTGCATCTACAAATGACTCATTGCATAAAGTACAATAATTCAAAATCCGGACAGTGAATAATACAGGGAGGCAGTATTGTCTGTGATTAGTGCAGTGGCTTGAGCTTTGGGAAATCCAGGATATGGTCCTAGGTTTGCCAAGAATATCCAATATGACATGGGTAGATCACTTAACCAGTGAAGAATGCATCAGTTTCCCTGCCTCTAAAATAGGGGTATGTAATCATCTTTGTATATTGCTTCTATTTACTCTGATGAAGAGGTTATCAAAGTGAAAAGTGTTATTATAATAGATATGTTTGAGAGAGAGTAAGGGGATTGTAAGGTTCTCAGTACTTTTTCTGATCTATCCAGTGGAAAAGTGTGTAAGGATAAGTAAGTCAGGTACAGTATTCTTTTGGAAAACGTAAAATGTGTGATACAAAATGTTTAAATAGCTGAGCTGTTTAAAATAATTTGTGGTTATCCTGAATATGTAAAATCGATGTATGAATACTCTGGATTCTTGATCTGACAAGGCTCTGTCCTAATGTTGCTCCTTATTGTGTTACTGCTGCACTTTGTAGAGAGTGGGGAATGGAAATACCTACATAAAAGTTTTAATGAACAATTTACATAGGTGAAAACATAATTGTTTCTTTGGATTAGCTTTTTTATTGAACTTTTAGGAGTAGTAGTATGTGCTCAAATACATAGTGATAGGGCAATATAAAAACATAGTGTCTGCTTTTAGAGAGGGCCTAAATTTTTAGGGGATTGTGTGTTTGAGAACGACCATGTCAAGGTTCCTCCCCCACTCTGAACTCTAGGGTACAGATGTGGGGACCTGCATGAAAATCTCCTAAGCTTACTTTTACCAGCTTAGGTTAAAACTTCCCCAAGGTACAAATTAATTTTATCCTTTGTCCTTGGAATATCCACTGCCACCACCAAACTCTAACTGGGTTTACTGGGAAACGTAGTTTGGACACGTGTTTCCCCCCAAAATCCTCCCAACCCTTGCACCCCACTTCCTGGGAAAGGTTTGGTAAAAATCCTCACCAATTTGCATAGGTGACCACAGACCCAATCCCTTGGATCTGAGAACAATGAAAAAGCATTCAGTTTTCTTACAAGAAGACTTTTAATAGAAATAGAAGTAAATAGGAGTAAAGGAATCACCCTTGTAAAATCAGGATGGTAGATACCTTACAGGGTAATTAGATTCAAAACATAGAGAATCCCTCTAGGCAAAACCTTAAGTTACAAAAAAGACACACAGACAGAAATAGTCATTCTGTTCAGCACAATTCTTTTCTCAGCCATTTAAAGAAATCATAATCTAACGCATACCTAGCTAGATTACTTACTAAAAGTTCTAAGACTCCATTCCTGTTCTATCCCCGGTAAAAGCAGCATACCAACAGACAGAGACCCTTTGTTTTTCTCCCTTCTCCCAGCTTTTGAAAGTATCTTGTCTCCTCATTGGTCATTTTGGTCAGGTGCCAGCGAGGTTACCTTTAGCTTCTTAACCCTTTACAGGTGAGAGGATTTTTCCTCTGGCCAGGAGGGGGTTTTAAAGGGGTTTACCCTTCCCTTTATATTTATGACAGACCAGTTATGCATCCATATCATTACTTGTATGTACTGTTATACACTTGCAGTAAATGCACATGCAAGTTAAATATGCAAATGCATGTACATTTTCTTGAAACTTTTGGTCTAGATTTGTAACCTAAGCTTTGATACAAAGAATTGTGCAGGCACAGGTTACAATAAGCAAAAATGGAAATTAGGCTGGGGAAAATTATTAATGAAGTATATTTTTTTAAAAAATCAACAAATAATATACAACTCTTTTAAATGTTCATATAATCAGATTCTTTCCTCAGATATATTTGTGAAATTCCCTTTAACTTCACTGGGACTCCAGTAAGAGTTGTGCACATGGTGCCTGATCCAGCTGCTGGTACATGACACCTATGTAGCTGTGGGCAAATCTTACACCAGGAGTTGGAATACTTTTTATTGCTGGCAAAGTGATATATACTGGAGAAATCCAAACTGAAAAGGTTAATGAGTGTTACTTTTCTAGTTGAGAAGGACTAAGAATGTCAATATGGGGCATATACATGGTTGGGACCTTCAAATTTAGCTTGCTGCTGTTTTGCAAGGGCAGGATGTTTCTCACTGAATAGACAGTATGAAAAGGAGTACTTGTGGCACCTTAGAGACTAACAAATTTATTTGAGCATAAGCTTTCGTGAACTACAGCTCACTTCATCGAATGCGTTCAGTGGTACTGAACGCATCCGATGAAGTGAGCTCTAGCTCACGAAAGCTTATGCTCAAATAAATTTGTTAGTCTCTAAGGTGCCACAAGTACTCCTTTTCTTTTTGCGGATACAGACTAACATGGCTGCTCCTCTGAAACCTGTCAGTATGAAAAGTGTAAAACTATATTACATTAACGAATTACATCTCCCTGCCTACATCTCTTGGGGATAGGTAAGGTCTGATATTAAGTCACAGTAACTTTTGTAAATGCATTTGTCAATTTCACAAGGAAGCTATATGTTTAAAAATACTGTTATCCATATTTCTTTAATTTTGTATGAATGCAGAGGGAATTTTGTTTAAAGATCAATGGATACTTTTAAAACAAAAATATTTATGATTATATAAACCATTATCTAAGAAAATAGGCAGATCTGCTATAACATGAAAAAGTGTAATTTTTCTATTTCTTATTCTATTGCTCTCTTGTTCTTTGGAGTCTGTGTTTTTTTGTTTTGTTTTTATTAATGAAGGAAGACTATATTTTTTTGTTCCATCTTGAGATTCTTGGGATCTTTCCTTAAGGTAGCCTTTGATTTTTATATTAGTATTGAAAATGTACAATTTCCAAACCAAACATGCCATAATAATCCCCTTTCAACCACAGAATTAAATTTCATAACATTAAAAGAAAGTAATCCAGTACTGCAGAACATAGCAACTAAAATAACAAAACAGAAGGGTCCAAAGTCAAGTATTGATGTATGATCCAAAATTAAATTTGGGTTTTGAATATGTAATCTTTCCAGTAGGACTAAAAGAATAATTGTTTTTGCTGTATTGCAATGACTGATAACTTTGGCAAGTTGTCTCTTTAATGATGCAACATAGGTACAGAATTCCCTTTGTTGGCATAGCCTCTGTAACCACACGTTTAGCAAAGAGCCACTTTATCATTCAATGGAGCTATAGAGAACCCGAACAAATTGGACACATTAACAAGATAAAAACATTTATAGTATAATAACTAATATATTTGTCAAAACAGCTAAATGACTATTATGGTGCTGATCTTGCCACCCTTACTCATGTTGATTAGTACCTTCGTTTGGGAGTAGTCCCATTGATTTTAAGTCAGTGAGGATGGCAGAATTAGACCCTAGGTAAGCAATTTTAATTATAGTCCAATATTAATTCCTTTCTTAATATCATTAACCACAATTACCTTCTACTAGAGTGACTTTGTTGAAGTAAAGTTGGAACACAAAGCAGAACTTTTCACATTGTTGCCTATCTCTTTTTGTCTGTACATGTTTTAAATTGCCAGTAATTCCTGAGGCATATTCACCTCACCAGGACGTTGAGCAATGTACTGTTGTCAGGTGAAAACTTGTCTGGCAGATAAGCACACTGTATAAAAAGCTAGTTGTTGTTCCCTGTTTTCATTAATAAACAGAAACTTGCCAAGTTTGTAAGTGTTGAGGGAGGTTGAAGTCTCTCTAACGCTCACAAAAAAACTTTGATCAAGCCACAAATGGCCCCTTTAAAGATATCCTTCTTTCTCTCACTCCCAAGACTTGGCTCAGTATCCATAACAAAGAATCATGTTCACAGTGAGCCTGATTGCTGATCACTCTTGTCCCGAAAATATTATTTACTAGGAGCTTTTGGGAAGCTTGTTTGCCAGAATTCTGCTAACAATAATAGAACTTACCACTTCAAGTTGACAAAAGAAAGTATTTGTATAGTGTAGCTTTCTAAAGATGGGAAACAGAGACAGGAGGAGATTAATGGCTTGATGTTCAGATGTGCTGAGCACCTACAACTTCATTTAAAGTCAGTGGGAGCTGTGGACACTCATCACTTCTGAAAATCAGAATCTTGAAAAGGATGTATATTATCTCCCTAACTGTCATATTTAAGTATTAAAAGCCAAGTAGTACAAGATGTTGATCACCCTCAACTCCCCTTGAACTCAAGGGAAGATGAGGGTATTTATTATCTATGGGGAAAGGGTTGTTAGTTCTCATCCCTTTGTAAATGTTGTAATGATCCAGAAGAAAGGCCAGTCCCATTCCTAGTGTCTGAATGAGAGAGACTGCTGCTGCTCTTCTTACAGAAGTTTCAGTAAAGTTGAGTGTCACACACAGCCCTGCTAGAGCTCCTCCAGCTGGACACTCATCAGTTTGCTGCATTTGGTTCCCAGCATATTAGACCCATGTGGTCTTAAGCATCACTTGGTCTGAATAGGCTCCAGCCGTACCTCTTTCCTTGGCCTCTCCGGTACACTTCCTGGGTACAGGTTCTTTGATACCTTTTCATGGAAATAGGACCATGCGGCCCAGCTTCCCTAGATGCCCAGGGCCAGTGCTGACTCCACCCATCAACTCCCCAGTAGCTTAAGCATACCCTTTGCCAGAGCTCCAACCTTGTGGGTGTTCTGGTTTTACAGTTCAGCTCTTCAGGGACATGTGACAGTGAAAGCTCTTGCTTAAGATCTCCTGCTGTTGCACTACCACTGAAGCAGCTTCATGGAGGATTGTGACATACCAGGGTACAATCCAGCCTAATGAGCAGTTATGTCACCCCAGCCTGCAATCTTGGGTGCCTTACAATGCCTTACTGAAATAGCTCCCACCTGGGCATCTCACAAACAGCCTTCTAGCTTGCAAGCCACACCCTGAGTGTCCGTGTGTAACTGCAGCCTGCCAGCCACATTTGGGTTGCACTCTGGCTCTGGCCAGCTTTGGTTATATTGCAGGGTGACCCCAGGCCCCGCCCCCCTGTCCCAGGAAATGTCCTGTACTGCTCAGCCTTCTCTTGTACAATGCAAAATATTTTAAGTCTGTTATTCCTTAAAGGGAACAATACGCCAGCATATTATCTCAAATAGTTCTTCAGACACTTCAATTTAAAATACACTGGTATAGGTCGAACAGTAAAACCAGTTTAACTACAGAGAGAGTTTTTACGTGAGTACCAGTAGTGAGGCATAAAAGTCAGAAATGATTACAAGAAAAAGATAAGACATCTACTAATGCCTGACTTAACAAACTATATCAGATTCAAGCAGAGTTTCTCACCAGGTGTTTTCAGCAGTCTTACTGACCAAACCCTATAGGTCAGGACCCCTCCCCAGAGTCCAACAAACGCTTTCTTTGTTGCCTCAGGTGCCATGAATGTGATAGGTAGGGAGAGAGAAAGGTGTGCTTTGGGATGTTAGTCCCATCTTTTTATAATTTCAGTCCCTTTCCTGAAAAAACATTTCCAGCTGGGCACTAGGAGACAGAGTCTGTGTGGAAGGATATTCCTTGTTGGCTTTTTTGTTGCCTGTTTGAGCTTTCTTTATTTCCCTTCCTGCTTGATGACTCTGTTTACTGCTTAAATGTGTGTCTCTGTTCATTACTCTGTTAGATACCAAAAATCAAGTATCTAGAACAGAGATACTGGATCTATGGCTTATTACAACAATCTGTAACCCACTAACCCCCTCTTTTTGTCTTATGACTGAAGAGGTTTTAACAGACCACTCTACCCTGAATGATCACCCCCTTACGATATGTGCTAACTACTTATGCTAAACAATCTGTTCCACATAGCATTTTGCTGTGATGCTGGGAGCACTTTTCCCAGACCTGAAGAAAAGCTCTGTGTAAGCTCGAAAGCTTCTCTCTCTCACCATCAGAAGTTGGTCCAATAAAAGATATTATCTAACCCACCTTGTCTCACTGATATCCTGGGACCAATGCGGCTACAACAACACTGCATTCAGGTCAACGTTTCATTTCTAAGCAATGTGCTTCCAAGCCTGAGCAGCCCTGTGAAGAGAGGGACTGAACTCTAGTTTTGATCCCTTATGTGGCAAAGCAACAGCCTTTTATTAAATTGATGGTATGCTCTTCGGTATTTCATTAAATCTCTCCAAAGGTATTTTAGCTATAGACATATTGGGCTAAATTCTTTCCTCCAGTTATACCCAGGCTGCCCCATCAAAATGAATGGAGTTGGCCCAAGTGTAACTAACAGGAAAATTTGGCCTATTGCATGTAGAATAGATTTTATGCCATATCATTTAATTTAAAAAAAATAAAATTATTGTTGGAATTGCTTTGTGTAGTCCTTTATCTAATTCTATGCCATGCTTTCCTAACTGAAAGCTCAACAACATAAATATAAGAAATATATGCAATATTATTTTTAAGCGGAGACCTCTTTTGAGTGTACACAAGAAAAATACGTCATAAACTGATGCCATCTTTTTGGTATTTCATTATTGATGAGATATGTGCTGCGTAAAAATCTTTTTTAAGGCATTTTTATATTGACTCTTTGAGCTTTTCAAATTTTCTCACTAGTCAAATATCCAATAATCCTCAGAAACAAACAACATGAAGATACTGGGTAGTATTGTTTTGTACATTTATTTAAAAGCAACATTTCCTATTCTTATTTAAAACCTAATGCAAAAAAGGAGCTTGAAAAACTGATTATCAATTACTTTTGTTTATGGTCAGTAGAAAATAGTCCACAGGAAGTTAGGTCTGTATTATTTATATCTGTTAAAGGGAATATCACTTGTAATGGCCTAGAATGAAAAGGCAATGACTTATTACCTAAAAATAAAATAATGGCTAAAAGCAGGTTTATCTTTATGTAAAAAAAAAGTGTATTAGGAAGGAGGGAAGGAATTCCATTACTGTTGACAGAGGCTTATGACTCGGAAAAGTTATAAATAACTTCTCTATAAATTATTGATGAAACCCAGATTTCTGCAGTACCAGTAGAAGCTAGGACCATTTAGAACTTGTGCATTGCAGTTTGCTGTAGTTATAGCTAGACAGCCATTTGCAGAAAGCTGTGCACTTATGCTAACCATCTGCTGTTGGCTTCAGTTTCACAGATCTGTCTGTCTGAATACACAATTTTAAACAATAACCTTCACTGTGCATTTTGCTATTATTTTGGTGCCCCAGTGTATTAAGAGTTAATCTTTACTTGTGCTTCCAAAATATCTTTTTGTTTCTTTAGAGAAGACTAATATTAAACTATTATACATCACTGAGGAGAAGCCTGTTACTATTTTTCTCATGTTACTATAATCAAATTGGTTTAGGGAATGTTTCCTCTGATTAATGATATTTTGGTTCTTATTATCTATTGGCTTTGTATATATTTTCATCTGGAATTTTTTGGCATGAAATAAAACCTGAGACAATTGTTGGAATAGCTGACACACCAGTATTCTGAATTCAGACATATAACAGTAAACAATTTAACATTTAAAGAACCCTTAACTCTGCCTGGCGTAGTTAGTCTTTGGCTGCATTTGTTTGTTCCCGGTGTATGCTGTCCCAGCTCTGTGCAGATAGCTGACACAGCAGACCTCGATCGAACTGCCCAATAAGACCACAAGACTTGGTTTAGTAGCGAAGGTACCCAGTCAGGTTTATTGTCAATGAAGCACAGTCCTAGCTGCCCAGATTAATGTCTACAGTTACACTAACATATGTATGCCTGGTACAATGGACTCAGCTCAGTGAATGGCGGGACTTTCCATTCTCCCCTCAGCTGGCCAGAGACATTCCCTCTGAGACCAACTGAGGCAGTCAATACAGCTCCCCAGTTAGGTCCAGTGATGTAATAGCGGCAGCTGCTCACTACCATTTTACTGCCTCTTTATATTCCGTTCACCTTTTTAAGGTTCTCTTCACAATCATAAGGGCTATAGACTTATTTTTTCAGTTAAAGCTTATGTTCTGCAGAAATTGATGGCCTGGGTCACACTAACTCAAGGAAGGTCCATGCTTGCCTCAGGCAAGTGAGTGAATTTGCAAGGCTGGCTTGAAGTAAGGCTCTCAGACAGAACATTTAAGAAGCAGCACATATTTGGCCCATATAGTAGAAATACACAGAATGTCAGACGATTAAATATTAAAAACTAAGGTAGAATTATATTAGTATGTATCTCCATTTCTTTAAAATGTATCTCTAACAGGTGTCTAAGCAAACTAGGCACAATATGCATGCTATTAATTATACTTCTCATTACAGATTGCTAAAATAGAAAATATCAATCATTTGGGTGAACTCAGAGTGTTAAACCTTGCCAGAAACCTTTTAAGCTATGTAGAAAACCTTAATGGACTGGATTCACTGACAGAACTTAACCTTCGTCATAATCAAATCACCTCCATGGTAAGTGATAAAGCTCAATTAATATTTGTTGTCCTTCCCCCACAAAAAAGTTAGCAAAATACAATAATATTATCATTTGATTTGAACCATGTTAGTGTTTCACAGTTCTAGAACTATATTGTTTTCATTTGTCCTATGATTTTGGTGCTCTTTTGGTTAGTTTTATGTGAAGTGGATGAAACCAAAAATAACACATGGATATTTTATCTAAATGATTGTTTATAGCTGTGAAGCTGTCTTTATACTAATTAAAGTGCCAAAAGTGAGGAAATCTTGAAGAAACTATACAATTCTGGTGCATAGATTGAGTAGGTATCTAAAAATATAGTAAAAAGAAAAGGAGTACTTGTGGCACCTTAGAGACTAACCAATTTATTTGAGCATGAGCTTTCGTGAGCTACAGCTCACTTCATCAGATGTTTACCGTGGAAACTGCAGCAGACTTTATATACACACAGAGAATATGAAACAATACCTCCTCCCACCCCACTGTCCTGCTGGTAATAGCTTATCTAAAGTGATCAACAGGTGGGTATACTGACTATATCCTGAACTTAAAAATCATGGCTATTGATGGTATAAAGTGCTTTTTTTTCGTAGTAGCCTCTCTTTTTTTTTAATATGACAGTTAGAGAAAGTCAGTATGATCTTAAAAGAAAATTAAAAATACTGTTTTTAATTTTGCAGTTTCACTTAACATTAACCAATACTTTCAAAAAGAAAAGGCCATCAGTGTCCAATATTTTGACAATGAGAAAGTACCTGAGCAATAATTTAAAGATCTGTTTCTGCAAAAGATATTGTTTCAGTTTCTTATTACAAAACCTTAATATAAAGCAGTTGTAGCAGACTCATAATACACTAACAAGAGCACATTGCATAAAAGAATGCTGTTTTGCTAAATACCTAGAACAGTGTATTCCCCCGCTCGGAAAGAAACAAATGGAACATGACAACAAAGGAGAGAGGTTAATATATGTAGAGAGTCTTGTTCCAATTTCTTCTTTATCAGAGCTCTTGCCTTGAGCTGTGTCTTAGATCATGTCAGCTAATCTGACCACTGGTATATGATTTTCTGACACAAGTGAACTGTCAGTTTTGCAGAATAGAAAATGGAGGCTTCAGCTCCTATTTCCAGTTTTGTTTACTTGGGGTTTTTTTGCTTTTCTTCATAATAATAGAAAAAGTCCTGTCTTAGTCTATGTGACTGAGCTGAGGTTTGAGATGTGGCTGAGCTGAGCTGAGATTTGGCCCTTTTAAATTCAATCTCCTTTATAACATGTGTAGCCAGCAGAATTCTGTATCCATCTCTCTGGTAAGATATGATATGCAAATGGAACTTCCTCCTTGGGAGTGATGGAGCTTTCCTGTAGGAACGTTGACTGATTTTTTTCCAAGTTGATAGGATCATCTTACACAAGTAGATTGCAACTCTTAATGCACCTGGGGCTTTTTTTTTTTAAAGTAGGTCTGAGTTACCTCAGGTACTGCTGTGTATCTGGGAATTTAGTCATTGATTTCAGCAGTGCCAAGATTTTACTCAGCATTTTTTGTGAGTTTTTGATGATGTATTTGTTTTCCGTCATTCAGTAAAGAATATTAAAAACAAACCAACTCCTAAATAAACAGTAACAAAAATGTTGATTGTGTAATCAAAATTTCCCATGTTATACTGCTGCTCAACTTCATGCTTAGTCCCTGCTCTCTTTCCCTCAGGAATATTTTCTTGAATCTCCTGGGTGTCTAACTGTTCATGTAGTATGCCAAATTATCCACAATTGTTCTTGTTCCTTGAAACAATGAGAACATGGAAATAATGATTGACTAGTGTATGGTAGATATTTTTGTTTCTTTAAATTATACCCAGACAGTTAATACTCTGGGTATAATAAATAAATAAATATAATTTAATTTTTAAGAATTAGCATGTTTGAGCTATAGTATCTGTGAAATCCATCTTGGTCTCAGTCTACTTTGGCTTGGTTAAAGAAAAATTATCCTCATGCTCAGTTCAGGCAAGTCTTGGATCATTTTAATTTTAGTAAACGTGCTTTCTCTTTGGCCTGTTTTAATTCAAAGGTATTTGAAATTGAGTTCTAGGCGGTGTTGACTATTTAATGAATGCAGTATATTATTTTTATTGTAACCTCCTGTCACAGGGTGACTGGCTCTTTTAATGGGAGATGGGGCTAGTTTACCTGTGCGATAACTAATTAGCTGCTTCCCAACCTGAGGGGATGAGATTATAGGGGTCAGATGATAGCTTAATGGACACCTGGGCCTCTGCAGGAATTTGGCCTACACTGGACCTGGGTGAACTGTGTTTTTCAAATTGAGTTTGAATGTTAGCATAAGTGATAGGCCTAAAAGCATGTGACCAAAAAAGAATGAGATCACGGGAAAGAAGAGCTTGTTTCTATTAAACTTCTTGTGACCCTTGAAATACCAGCATTATCTTATTTAACGTTTGGGATGAGGTAATAGAAATAAAGAAAACTTGCTTAATTGGGCCCCAGGTGCAGTAAATAATTGGTTATATATGGTTTGTTTAAAAAGAAATGCTTAGTTCAGTTATTGGGAAGAAATATGGTAAAATAAAATAAGAAGAAAATCTTGAGGAGCGGGCCCAGCCATTAGTCTTGTCTTGACTAAAACTCCTTCCTCTAGCTTTGGCTATGGTCTGATAACCAGCAGTGATATCACTTATTTATTATAGTGTATAAAAGATAAGGTTTTGGGGAGTTTCTTTGTCTCCCATCATGCTGTGACTCCAGAGGGGTATGTCCTGGGCCTGATCCTGTTGTAAGTATTTTGGCCAATACTTATAACTGGATTGATACTAGGACAGGGGTTCTCAAACTTCATTGCACCGTGACCCCCTTCTGACAACAAAGTTACTACATGATCCCAGGGGGAGGGCTGGAGCCCAAGCCCTGCTGCCCTGGGTGGAGGGAGAGGGAGCCAGAGCCCAAGCCTTGCCACCTCAGATTGGAAGAGAAGGGGCTGCAGCCCAAGTCCCACTGCTCTGGGTGGGGTGGAGCTCAGGCTTCAGTTTCAACCCTGGGTTCCAGCAAATCTAATGCTGGCCCTGGCAATCCCATTAAAATGGGGTCCCAACCCACAGTTTGAGAACCACTGTACTAGGATGTTGCATATAAGTTTGTGTATGCGTATATTTGTATTTTGAGTGTAATCAACACCAAGTGGCCTTTGGTCTATTAAAGAAATACTTTTGTGTAAACTGAGTTGTGGTAAACCTTAGTAAAGTATTAGGGGAATTATTTGCAATAGCCTCATAAGAGGGCTGGGAGATCTATTGGGGAGGTTAGATTGGATATTAGGAAAAACTTTTTCACTAAGAGGGTGGTGAAACACTGGAATGCGTTACCTAGGGAGGTGGTAGAATCTCCTTCCTCAGAGGTTTTTAAGGTCAGGCTTGACAAAGCCCTGGCTGGGATGATTTAACTGGGAATTGGTCCTGCTTCGAGCAGGGGGTTGGACTAGATGACCTTCTGAGGTCCCTTCCAACCCTTATATTCTATGATTCTATGATTCTATTTTGGTGTGGAACCACAGGGAGTGGGTATGTTCTTGTGGAAAGCCCTAAGCCAAGGTCTACAGGAAGTTGGCTATCCCAGGGGAACCAGCCTGAGGCCCAGTGTTCTATACTGGAGCGGGGAAGGATGGAAGGAATGGAGTCCAGCAAGAACTGAGAATGTACTCCAGGGGAACCAGCCTGGGGGTGGAGTGCTCTATCCCAGAGCCAAAAAGACTCTCAAAGGTAGCCCAATGAGGGGATGGGTACAGGACCCAGAGGGCTGGCTGAAGAGGAACCACTGAAGGACAGAACAACTTTTTTGTTTGTTGGGACTTGATTGATTGGAATTTCGCTACCCCAGAATGGGATAAGTTTGTTTATGACTTGGCTGGAGGGCTAACTGAACTGACTGCTTTGTATGTGGAGTTCTTGGGGACTCTGAGGGTATGTCTACACTGCAACATAAGCTCATGCCTGAGCCCAGGCTCATGCCTAACCCCCCTAGTGTCTACACTGCAATTGCACTAATCTAGGGCTTGGACCCAGAGTCCCAAGACCCTACAGGACTGAAAGGTCCAAGCTTGAGTTAAGCTGGGACCCAGGTTGTGAGCCCTATTGTTTTGCAATGTAGATGCAGCCCCTCTTGACTCGGGTCCCAGTAGTGAGCTGGAAGTATCCCACTATTCCATGTGACAGCTATCCCAACATCTGCAATCCACTCTATTATTTTGTGAAAGGAATATTTCTTAAATATTGTTAGTGAGTTCCTTTTGGATTTCTTGTGCAGCTTTATTTTTAAGGACAGTTTTGGATTTTCTTTACCAGTGATAGGACAGAATAATTCTTGTTTTTGTTCCTTGCTGTTGAATCATGATATAGGACTAAAATTGCAGAATTATCACAAAATTTTGGTACTAAAATGGATTAGATTTCTTGTGCATCGGTTGTATTTTGACAGTGCTATTGGTGGCAGTACCTAATATAACTTGACAGAGTAATTATGGAATAAAGATATATCATAACTTTGTTGTAACTTCAAACCTTAGATAACCTTAAACAGCAGCATTGCTAACCCCAAGATTTCAGAAATTGTGTCGGGCACCCAAACGCATGAGCTTGTCTTCAAATGTATTATTTTAAAAATATTATTTTAAAATTTCTTTTCTCTGCTATCTCATTTTTGAGCCTTTAGTGTTCTTCTTCTCAAGCTTTATCTCTGATGCCAGGAGGGCTCAGAAATGTACTGTTCTTGAAAGCTGAGGCCTGGTCTATGCTACGGGGTCAGGTTGAATTTAGCCGCATTAGGTCAATTTTAAAATGAATGCGTCCACACAAACAACCCCGTTCCGTCGACTTAAAGGGCTCTTAAAATTGACTTCTGTAATCCTCCCTGGCGAGGGGAGTAGCGCTAAAATCGACCTTGCTGGATCAAATTTGGGGTAGTGCAGACGCAAATCGACGGTATTTGCCTCCGGGAGCTATCCCACAGTGCTCCATTGTGACCACTCTGGACAGCACTTTGAACTCCGATGCACTAGTCAGGTACACAGGAAAAGCCCCGGGAAATTTTGAATTTCATTTCCTGTTTGGTCAGCATGGTGAACTCAGCAGCACAGGTGACCATACAGTCCCCCTAGAATTGCAAACGAGCTCCAGCATGGACCAAAAGGGATCTGCTTGCTGTATGGGGAGAAGCATCTGTGCAGGCAGAACTCCGATCAAAAAGAAGAAATGCAAATATATTTGCCAAAATCTCACAGGGCAGGTTGGAGAGAGGCTACAACAGGGGGACACAGCAGTGCCGCATGGAAGTTAAGGACCTGGGGCAAGCCTACCAAAAGACAAAGGAGGCAAACGGTTGCTCTGGGTCAGAGCCCCATACATGCCACTTCTATGATCAGCTGCATGCCATTCTAGGAGGGGACCCTACCACTACCCCACCACTATCCGTGGACACGTGCAAGTGGGGAGTCTCACGCAACAGGGAGGAAGATTTTGTGGATGAGGAGGAGGAGAATGCGCAGCAGGCAAGCAGTGAATCCGTTCTCCCCAGCAGCCAGGACCTTTTCCTCACTGTGCATTCGAAGGCGGGATCCCCGACTCTGAAGCTGGAGAAGGCACCTCTGGTGAGTGCACATTTGTAACTACAGTGCAGGGTTTAAAAGCAATAGTGTTTCATGTTTGATTTGCCCTGAAGAATTGGGATGCATTTGCTGCCCGTACAGTAACTGGAAAAGTCTGTTAACGTGTCTGGGGATGGAGCGGGAGTCCTCCAGGGACATCTCCATGAAACTCTCCTGGAGGTACTCTGAAAGAATTCTGGAATCATTGCAGCACAAAGCATGGTAGCAGATGGTCCTGAGTTTTGGTCACATTCAAGCAACATTTGGTCTATATCTTTCTGTGTCAGCCTCAGGAGAGTAATATCATTCCTGGTCACCTGGTTGAAATAGGGGAATTTTTGTAAGGGAACAGTAAAAGGACCCCATTCATGCTGGGCTGTTTGCGCTTGGCTAAAGGGATCATCCCGGAGAATAGCCACGCGGTGGGGTGGTGGGAGGTATGTGCTGCACATCCACCCGAAAACCGCAGCCCCTCCTTTTAAATGTGAAACCCAATCCATTGCTTGCTATGGGAAAGGATGGCGCTGCAGTTTGAAACCATTCCCACATGTTTTGCATACAAAGCCAACCCCGTGTACCCTTTGCCTTACTATGGCTGCATGGAAACCGAATTCTGTTGCCCAGCCATGTGTGATGTGTCACCATACCGGCAGGCGCTCAATATAAAAGGCAAAATGCGACCTTGTACCTAAAGCACATGTGCTGTCTGCTGTGAATTGCTAGATTCACAACTGTGAAAGAGTCTCCGTTTTGTTCTCAGAAATGTATCATCATAAATTTTACTCTCCCTTTTTATCTCCCCCCAGGTGCAAATGTTTCTAGGCTCCGTTATCTCCGTCCCTGAGGTTATTGCAGATTAGAAGGCGGAAAAAATGCACTTGCAATTACATGTTTTCCGAGCTAATGCAGTGCTCCCGCACTGATAGGGCACAACTGAATGCATGGAGGCATTCAGTGGCAGAGGCCAGGAAAGCATTAAGTGAGCGCAAAGAGCAGAGGCAGGAGTGCGAAGAGCGGAGGCAGGAGGTGATGCTAAGGCTAATGGGGGACCAAATGGACATGATGAAGCGTCTGGTGCAGCTGCAGGAAAGCCAACAAGAGCACAAACACCCCACTGCATCCATTGTACAACCTCCTGACCTTCTCCCCAAGTTCCATATCCTCCTCACCCAGATGCCCAAGAATGCGGGTGTGAGGAGGCTCCGGGCACCCAGCCACTCCACTCCAGAGGATGGCCCAAGCAACAGAAGGCTGTCATTCAAACAGTTTTATTTGTAGTGTGGCTACAATAAGCAATGTGGGGTTGTATTTCTCTCCTCCCCCACTCCACCCTGGCTACCTTGTCAGTTATCTCCCTTTTTCTTTAATTAATAAAGAAAGAATGCATGGTTTCAAAACAATAGTTACTTTATTTTGAAGCCGGGAGGGTGGTTGGCTTACAGGGAATTAAAATCAGCAAAGAGGGTGGGTTTGCATCAAGGAGAAATACACACAACTGTCACACAGAAGGCTGGCCAGTCACGAAACTGGTTTTCAAAGCCTCTCTGATGAGCAGCGTGCCCTGCTGTGCTCTTCTAATCGCCCTGGTGTCTGGCTGCTCAAAATCGGACGCTAGGCGATTTGCCTCAACCTCCCACCCTGCCATAAATGTGTCCCCTTACTCTCACAGATACTATGGAGCACACAGCAAGCAGCAATAACAATGGGAATGTTGGTTGCGCTAAGGTCTGATCTAGTCAGCAAACAGCGTCAGCAAGCTTTTAAATATCCAAAGGCACATTCTACCACCATTCTGCACTTGCTCAGCCTATAGTTGAACTGCTCCTTAGTACTGTCCAGGCTGCCTGTGTATGGCTTCATGAGCCGTGGGAGCAAGGGGTAGGCTGGGTCCCCAAGGATAACTATTGGCATTTCAACATCCCCAATGGTTATTTTCTGGTCTGGAAAGTAAGTCCCTTGCTGCAGCTGTTCATACAGACCAGAGTTCCTGAAGATGCGAGTGTCATGTACCTTTCCCGGCCATCCCATGTTGATGTTGGTGAAATGTCCCTTGTGATCCACCAGTGCTTGCAGCACCATTGAAAAGTACCCTTTGCTGTTTATATACTGGTTGGCAAGGTGGCCCGGTGCCAGGATAGGGATATGTGTTCCGTCTATTGCCCCACCACAGTTAGGGAACCCCATTGCAGCAAAGCCATCCACTATGAACTGCACATTTTCCAGAGTCACTACCCTTGATAACAGAATGTCAATAATTGCATTGGCTACTTGGATCACAGCAGCCCGCACAGTAGATTTGCCCACTCCAAATTGATTCCCGACTGACCGGTAGCAGTCAGGCATAGCAAGCTTCCACAGGGCTATCGCCACTCGCTTCTCAACTGTCAGGGCAGCTCTCATCTTGGTATTCCTGCGCTTCAGGGTGGGAGAAAGCAACTCACAGAGTTCCAGGAAAGTAGCCTTACGCATGCAAAAGTTTCGCAGCTGCTGTGAATCATCCCATACCCGCAACACTATGCGGTCCCACCAGTCTGTGCTTGTTTGCCGGGCCCAGAATCAGCGTTCCACTGTATCAGCCAGCTAAATTGATGGAAGCAGAACTTCAGTTACTCTGTGACTTCCTTACAGAACTTAGGGTAAACTTACACCCATGTTTGTGATGCTTGCAAGCTACCCCGAGGTAGGGTTGCCAGTTTTGGTTGGACATATTCCTGGAGGTTTCATCACATGACATAATCTTTAATTTCTGGATACTCCAGGACAGTCCTTGGCAACCCTACAGGGAAAAGCAAACAATTGTGGCTGTGGCAGACTGCTACCCAAGGAATATTCCTTCACATCCCACAGTATTGTGATCAGCTAGACACTGAGGATTTGAGGAAGAATCACCATTCACACAACCTCTTAATACCTAGCCTTTAGGTGTATTTCTGTCCTGCTCTTTCCCCATGTCAACTATAACCACAATTAGAAGTCATGGAGACTAAAGCTGATGGGGGGTGGGAATATGGGTCTAGCTACTGGAAAAATACAAGTGGCCTGCCCCTGCACCAGTCTCCAAGCACTTGGACTGGATGTGTTCATATCCGCAAGTTGGAGAATGGGTTTTTACAGGGTAGGGAGATGCACCTAATGGCATAAATGAATATGTGGATGGGTAACGACAAACCGCAATCCCTAGTCAATGTGGATTTGTATTTTGCGCATACAGCTTGCTCTTATTTGCTTTATTAACATGTTGAATTAGATACTATTTCAAGTATTCCAAAAGATGTATAGTAGCATTTAAAACCACCAATAACAATTTTGTACTGTTAAAATACGTAGCTTTTGGAAGATTGGACTCCAGAGTCCATCTGTATGTTTTTTTTATTCATATGGTGTAGATTTTTATACAATTTAAAAGATAGTGAGTTGGTTGATAGGAGAGAATCCTTACTTAAGTCTCCCATTGACAGTACAGCCACTGCGATTTGGAAGGTAATTTATGAGTTTGCACTTTGAAGCTTTAGTGCAGAATGGTCACAACATCAAATTTATATTTATGCAGTTTGATTACAGCATGCTTGCCCTGAAGCTTAAACGCTGAGGCAAGCACCTTGGCTCCTTTCCTGAAAGGCTGTTAAAAATGGTTAACAGCAGTCTCATTCTCTTTGATGCTATTTACCTTGCAAGTGGTGCAGCTTGATCTGCAGAGTAGATATCTGCACTGAAGCACTCCCTTGGAGTCTGCACCAGAGAGGAATGGAGCTGCATGTTCAACAGAAATCAATGTTGCAGCAAGGTTACAGAAAATAGAAATGTGTATATTTCATCATCAGGCCAAGTAGAGAGGTTCAAAAGATGTTCTCTTTCAGCTGCTGAATTTATGCTTCTCTTTCTTTCTAGAAAGATGTGGATACTTTGCCCTGCCTCCAGCATCTGTTTCTCAGCTTTAACAATATATCTAGGTAAGGGGACTACCAGTTTGCTTCTTATCGGTAACTTAAGTATAATATTGCAGCTGTATTAAGTTAAAATTGGAATACTTTGCAGGTGGTTACAATTTTCTAATATGGCAGATTGAATAAGAAATATACAATGTCTGGATTATACAAAATGTGTGAAACTGAAGTTCTCTAAACCCTCATCCTTTAAATGTACATTCTATTTATGAAAATTCTACTATTCTGTTTAAAGATGACCATACAGTTTATAGTTATGAAAATAGAAAATAGTATTGTAAATACTGTATAATTTTAGTGTTAATTTAAGTATCTGTTTAACAGTATATAAGTTACATTTATGTTTACATTCATCACAACATAAAATATCGAATTAAAATCTGTTTAATTGATGTGACTAGATTATTCTTCATTTGTATTGCTTTCTGAACATCTTTTGTTACCTAAAGCTGCAATCTGTATTCATTATTGTGTCACTCTTTCAAACTGGGCCATCAGAACGTAGTAACTCAGCTTTCTCAGTAAGACTTCTGTTGTTTTAAGAACTGATGAGCATGTTTCATTATAAATGTATAGAAATGTTTGTCATCTACATCTGTCTTCTCATCGTATTTTCAAATTTTACTGGATTCTGTATTTATAGTCATCCCAAAATAAAAGAAAATGTTATTTTAAAAAGTACTGCATGCACGATTTTCCTTAGAGAGCAACTTATGGTTGCTCATATATCTTAATCATCATAAATATAGAACTAAGGAGAAATCTAACAGCATCAAATTATTTTATTAGAGACCTAGAAAAGGTACTGCATTCCTTTATTGCTGGAAAAATCATGATGTTTTTGCTGTACTTATTCTCTTTGTAGGGATGGAAAATAGGAATGATTTATGTTATAACTAACAGAAATTGTTATTATACTAGTAAGTTAGAGTATTTTATGCAGACCTGCATTTTATTCCTTGCGAAGACCTCCAGTTTACTTGTTTATGAGCCTTATGTTCTTAATGCAGTGATGCAGCATTTACCCTTAAAATTACTGGGTATTAAAGAAAGTTGAAAATCTAATACGAGCTTCTACTAAACTATAGATATTTCACATGAATTAATCTGCTAGTGCCTCTGCTTCATGTTTTAAATTTGGGTAGTAGCAGACATAGATTAGCATTTTATTTCTGTTGAATAATGGTTGGTTCCCAAATTTTAAACATACTTTTTGTTTCTGTTCTGCCAACAAATGTCCTAGCCTGGTTTTAGCAGTTGGAGGACTGCAGTGGCCAGTTCCCCTGTCACCAGAAAGTATTGCTGCAGTCAGTGGTAATTACTTTATGATTTTATGTAACTGACCTAGTAACTCATCCAGCTCTCAGCCTCCTCTCCCACAATGTTTTATACAAAATTATACTATTATTTTTTCAGTATACAAGGAGAGAAAAGGACCTAAAAAGAAGCTTGGCAAATCCAATTGGTTACATAATCTGTAGCTGATTTCAAACTAATATCTTGCTTGCTTTTATAGTTTATTCAGCGGGTTTGCAGGGAAGCTATATGTGCACAACTCAGTCTTAGAATTTGTCCCTACATGGGATGTACATACCTTAAACATTGTCTTGCAAGTATGTAATGTTTAGTTTTGGTTTTGGTTTAGAGTTGAAATCAGTTTAAAAAAAATCTGAAATCAGTTGAAAATCGCACTTTTCCACTGTATGAACCTTATGTTTGGACCAACCTAACACTTTACATGCCAGTCACCATTATAACATCTTGATGGTGGTGGCATTTGGCTTGTTGATGTTTTGAAATGTTGACATGCCATTGAACAACAGCATTTCACCAAGGAGGTGAAACAACACTGAATGTACATTTTGTGTTATATAACTGATGCGTGACATGTTTCGTATCAGGGAAATAATTTAAAAAATGTGTTTTTATAACCAGTTATGTACTGATATTTTTCCTGGTGCAGTTTGACTTGACCAAGATGTTTAAACTGAAAATTGGCAAGTGTAATGGGAACTTTAGACACAATTTTAACATGGAGTATTGCTGTAGTAAGATCAAGAATGAATGTTCTCGCTACCCTTTGTACGTATTCTCATGACTTATTTATTTAGATTTACCATATGCCTTGTGGTAAACTTTGAAAATATATTTTCAAGAAACAATTCTACATGCATGTGTATGTAAAAAGACAAAAAAATATTTCAGACAAATGACAATACTTATGCAATGATCTAAAGCATTTACTCACAGGTACACAATGATAACTTGCTAGCAGCAGCAGCAAGATATGTTGCAAAAGTCTGGTTGTATTCACAGCTTGGTTTCCTTAGAGTCAGTTAATCAGATATTGATTTAAAAAATTACTTCATAAGATGTAATAATACGGCCTTTATGTTAAATCAGAATATCTCCAAAGGAGGTGTAGAACATTTTAAAAAGATTAATTTAGAATGAATTGTTTTGACATAGCAAAAGTTCACATTGGAGCATCAGTTTGGTGCTTGTCACATGGCAGCAAGAGTTGTTGCATCATGTATTGATAAACATTGACATGTATCAATTGGAATGTCTTTGTAATATGCCTCGTTACAGATGAGGACATTTCAAGCTGTTATGGTCTTAATATTAATGAGATATTCTCTCCTCTTCATTTTCAGAGGAACCCCAGAATGCTACTGTTCCTCTAAAGAAATCTTTTGTACACAAGTTCCCAAGTGTTCATGTTGTTAAGACCTCATAAGCTAAAACCAAACCAAGAATTGGTATGGGGACTGGAACAAAGAAATAATGTCTTATTTCCGTCCTCAGCTTGGACAGATTTAGTAGTCAGGCAAACTAATAGCATTCGCACCTGTTACATTAATTTAAATGGAATATATGGGCTTAAGGTGTTGACATAACCCCGTAACTGTCCAACATTAAACAGTGTTAAACAAGGTTTGGGCATGTGGTAACATGGCAAACACACCATTAAGAATCCTATGAACCTTTTATTAAAAACATAGAAAAGATGGAAAAACACTTAAAACATTTAAAATGTGAAGTATTTGTCAAATAAGGCTTTCACTTTAACAACATTCCTTGTTCCCCTTCCCTTTAGCTGGAGAGTTTTTAGAAGGAAATCCTCCACCTCCTTGTTTAACAGCCTCTTTATATCATATTAAAGAGGGTATTAACTGTACTTTTGGGGAAAAGAGAAGAAGTTAGTTGAGATGAGCTGGAGCAGTTGTTGCTGTTATTAAAGTACAATCCTGTTTCATCCCAGGTGGTGTTTGGGATTCAGATGGAGCCAAAAGAGGTGGCAATATCATCTGGGTCCCTCTCTCTGGCATGGTCTGGTCAGGACCAAACTCTCAGTATCAGGATGACAAAGGCCCTGGGTTCCAAGAGATGGTGGGGTTGGAAGCCATGGTGGTGAAGCTAACTCCATTAGACAATTTTTCTCCCAAAAGTCTCTCTCTTTAAGAATCCACCCAGGGAATGGTGGGTGAAATAGCCCATCCTCTCATTATTTTGTCCACCAATTAGACCAGTATACCCATTTTGGTTCACTAGTTTCTGGTTCCGCACTTTTCCAGTTTACTAAGCAGGATCTTGACAGGACTTGAGTTATATCACTAGGCCTTTTTGTTTGGACTAATTCCGTTATTTTCATACCATTTCCCATGAACACTTGCTATTAGAAGTTTTTGTGACACCTTACGAACTTTCATGCATTTTTTTACACCAGTTGAAGTTCCGGGGGGCGGGCAAGAGCAAGCTTTTTACAGTTAAGTTCACAATTAGGGAAAATATTGTAGGCCCAATTATTGCAACACACCTTGATGGTTCCTTATAATCTATTATTATTTATTTGTATTATCGTAACACCTAGGAGCCCCAGTCAGGGACAAGGATCTCAGTGTGCTAGGTGCTGTACAAACACAGAATAAAAAATCATTTTTTGGACTCTTGCTGAATTATCCAGATTATTCTCATCTAGATTGTTATCCGGCAGAACTTTGAGATTTTTTTGCTTTTAGAACTATTTAACTTGCCCCACTAGAGCTCGGGGGGGGGCGGGGGGGTTGTTATTACTGGTATTTCTTAATATGAAAACCAAGAAGTCTATTTTTATTCCATGTCTTGGAGATGTAAATTAATTTGCCAATGATTGTAAACTTTACAAGGCCATGACTGTCTTTTATTCTGCATCTTGTAAATCATATTTATTTAGCAAAAATAGGTTGGGTACAGATATGACCCCTTCAGGTGTGGGTTTTGGAGAAGAGGAGCAATTTCCCCATCTGGTTACTTAGTGAAAGGAATGATTTGAACTATTGTAACACTCATCTATTACAGCTTTCTATTATGCAACTGCAAACAGGTTAGCAACACCTTTATGGTGGACAAAGAGATCAGAAGAGAGTATTGAAATATAGCCTGTATTGGTGTAACGGGTCATCTTTTATGGCTATCTCTGTGCTTTGCCACAGTCTGAATCCTGATTTGCAAATATTCAGGATGCTGGGAAATATCACATTAGAGCTTGTTTGTCACTACTTGCGCATAACTTGCTTTGGGCTTCTCTTCATTGCAGGGTTAGCTTGAGGTATAACTAGAGTGTTGCCTCTAACCCAACTCCGTCCTGTCCATGTACAAAAATCTAGCTCAAGTTAAGTGGTGCTTCCTACTTGAGCCAGCTGGTCTGTCGGGGGTTTGGACTAAAGCCTGAGTGCTCCCCATGCCTGAACTAGTGATGCCGTGGGGTTGCAGCTTCTCTCTGCTGCTAATCCAGTCACTCTGGGTTGCTCCAGTGTGGTTTTGCTATGAGACCACTCTCACTCAGGCTAGGCTAACTTAGGAGGAGTTAGCTCAAGTGTAGATAACTGAAGCTAATACTTCATTGAAGACAAGCCCTTAGAAATCGGTTGTTGGAGACAATGTGATAGTTAGAGAGGGCTTCTTCATTTAGCTTTGGCTTTTTGAGGATTTATTTGTGAATTTATTTTTTAAACAAAAAAATA